GCCTTTCGCCTAATGGTTTTAGCAACTATTGATGGTCATTGTCTGGACCCATTATTTCTTTTTTTATTTTTATTTTTATTTATTTATTTATTTTTTATTTTTCCACATCTTTATTGTTGGATGTAAAATGCATTACAGATGTTCCACATTTTTCCCCCATTGACCCCCTCCTCCCCCCTCCCACCTTTTCCCAAACTATTGTCCGTGTCCATTGGTTATGCATATAAGTTCTTTGGTTTATTTCTTCCCACCCCCCCAACCCCTTTCCCTTTGAGGTTTGTCAGTCTAGCAATGAATTTGTGCTTCTTAATCCCTTCACCTTTTTCATCCATTCCCCCAACCCCTTTCCCAACTGGCAACCAACAAAATGTTCTCCGTATCTATGAGAATGTTCCTGTTCTTCCTGTTCATTTTGTTTGTAGATTCCATTGCTGATAGATATGTATTCATTGCCATTTTGTTTGTTCATATATTTTATCTTTTTCTTTAAAAAGACCCTTCATCATTTCATATAATAACGGTTTGGTAGTGATGAACTCCTTTAACTTTTTCTTGTCTGGGAAAGTTTTTATATGTCCATCGATTCTAAATGACAGCTTTGCAGGATAGAGTAATTTTGGTTGTAGGTTCTTGCTTTTCATCACTCTGAATATTTCTTGCCACTCCCTTCTGGCCTGCAAAGTTTCTTTTGAAAAATCAGCTGACAGCCTAATGGGAACTCCCTTGTAGGTAACTAGCTGCCTTTCTCTTGCTGCTTTTAGGATTCTCTCTTTGTCTTGAACCTTTTGCATTTTGATGATGATGTGTCTTGGTGTGGGCCTCTTGGGGTTCATCTTGTTTGGGACTCTTCTGTGCTTCCTGGACTTGTATGTCTGTTTCCTTCACCAAGTTAGGAAAGTTTTCTGCCATTATTGTTTCAAACAGGTTTTCGATTTCTTGTTCTCTCTCTTCTCCTTCCGGCACCCCCAAGATGCGAATGTTGGCACGCTTGAAATTGTCCCAGAGGCTCCTTACACTATCCTCATTTTTTTGGATTCTTTTTTCTTTTTGCTGTTCTGGTTGGGCGTTTTTTGCTTCCTTATATTCCAAATCGATGGTTTGCTCCTTGGATTTACGTACTCTATTATTGAAGCTATGTAAATTATTCTTTATTTCAGTTAAAGCCTCCTTCGTTTCTAACTGTGCAGCGATCATTTCTGACTGGTACTTTTTTATGCTCTTGAGGCCCTCACTGAGTTCATTGAGCATCCTTAGAAGCAGTATTTTGAACTCAGCATCTGTTAGGTTGCTTATCTCCATTTCGCTTAGTTCTTTTCTTGGGGTTTTGTTCTGTTCTTTCATTTGGGACCTGTTTCTTTGTCTCCTCATTTTGGCTGCCTCCCTGTGTTTGTTTCTGTGTATTACTTAATGAGAGGTATGGGGGTCGCTGAGACCCGATGCTGCTCGTTTGAAAGAATTTAGGAAAAACCTGAAGCAGGATCCAAGACAGGCCAATCCTATGGTTAAGCAAGTAGCAACAGCTTGGGTGGGCTTGAAAGTTGGGTGGGGTGGGGTGGAGCCTCAGGGAGTTAGCAGGGCGGGGCTACCAGTGTGAGCCAGGTTGCTGGAGTCCCAGATATGGCGACTGTCTGCCACCCCAGGGAAGGGCTCACCAAAGGAACAAAGGCCTCTTACAGCACGTTTGTCCCCGAGAAAGCCCCCTCTCCAGCCCTCGCTCCAGTGCCAAACAGCTCAGTTCTTCCCTGTATGTCTCTGGCGCCCCTCGAGCTGCCTCCCCTCCAAGCTTAGAGGGAGCGAGTCCGACCAGTCTGTGCGCGGGCCCTTTAGGGAGCTGCCTGTGGCTCCAGCCAGGTCAGCTTCCCTGAGCCTCAGTTTCCGCTGGTTTTTCCAGCCAGAAGTTATGGGGACTTCTCTTCCTGGCACTGGAAACCTGAGCGGGGCACCTGGTGTGGGATGGGGACCCCTCAGTCCTCAGGAAGGACCTTTCCAGCTGCGGGAGCCTCCTGATTTTTATCCGCCACACTTGGGTGTGGGACCAGCCCGTTGCGCCGCTGTGCCGCTGCCGCCACCCCTCGCGCCGCCGCCCCTCCTACCGGTCTGGATGTAGCTGCTTTTTTTTTTTTTTTTAATTCCGTAGTTGTAGGACTTCCATTCAGCTTGATTTCAGGCGGTTTGGGATGATGGTTGTTCTTTAGTTTTGTTGTAACTTGGATGTGGTTATGGGAGAACGCAATACTGCGTTTCCCTACGCCGCCATCTTGACCGGAAGTCTGGACCCATTATTTCATTAGGGTTTGAAAATTGGTGATTTTATTTTCTAATTATATTATTTCATCTGCATTTACTAGCTGGAATGTTTCTATAATGAAGACATTTTCTTTATTTAGTTACTCTGAAATATAGTTGGTATAGGAAAGGCAGGATAATTGCTTAATTCTTTCCATTTATTACTTTTTAGATTTACATGTTATTTCTAGCAACTCTGTAAAAGTGATTAGATTAACTTTATTTTTTAATTACAGTTTACATTCAGTATTATTTTATATTAGTTTTAGGTGTATAAACATTTGTATAATATATGAAATGATCTCCCTGATAAGTTTAATGCCCACCTGGCACCATACGTAGTTATTACAATAGTATTGACTATATTTCCTATGCTATACTTTACATCCCCACGACTATTACCACTTTGTACTTTTTTTAAAATAAGTTTTTATTAATTTTTTTTTAGAGAGGAAGGGAGAGATAGAAACATTGACTGCCTTCTGCACATCCCCTATTGGGGATCGAGCCTGCAACCCCAGCATGTGCCCTGACTGGGAATCAAACGGGGACCTCTCAGTCCATGGGGGGACACTCAATCCATTGAGCCACACTGGCCAGGTCCAATTTGTACTTAATCCATTCACTTTTTTTTTTTTAATTAATTTATTTTTGTTACAGATGTTTCTCCCTTTTCCTACCTGATTCCCCTCTCCCCCTCCCTCCCTGCCCCCAGCTTTGTTGTCCATGTCCATTGTTCATGCATACATTCTGTGGTTTATCTCTCTCCCACCACCCCCTCTTCTGGGATTGTCAGTCTGTACCCTACTTCCACGTCTCTGGGACTACCCCTTTCCTCAGACTGTTATGTTCATTATATTCCACAAATAAGTGAGATCATATGATACTTGTCTTTCTCTGTTTGGCTTGTTTCGCTTAGGATAATACTTTCCAGGTCCCTCCATGTAGTCTCAAAGGATAAGAGATCTTTCTTTCTTACCGCTGCATAGTACTCCATTGTGTATATGTACCACTGCTTTTTTATCCATTCGTCTACTGATGGACACTTGGGCTGTATCTTAGCTATTGTAAATAGTGCTGCTACAAACATGGGGGTACATATATTCTTTCTGATTGGTGTTTCAGGCTTCTTAGGGTATATTCCTAGAAGTGGGATCACTGGGTCAAATGGAAGTTCAATTTTTAATTTTTTGAGGTAACACCATATTATTTTCCATAGTGGCTACACCAGTCTGCATTCCCACAGCAGTGTACTAGAGTCCCCTTTTCTCCACACCCTCACCAACACTTGTTGTTTGATGATTTGTTGATGGCGGCCATTCTGACAGGTGTGAGGTGATACTTCATTGTTGTTCCATTCACCTTTTTTTACTCAGTCCTCCAACCCCTATCCCCTCTACAACCATCAGTCTGTTCTCTGTGTCGTTCAGTCTGTTTCAGTTTTATTTGTTCGTCTTGTTATTTAGATTCCACATATAAGTAAAATAATACGGTATTTGTAATAGTGATTTTTAAAGTATGTTGGATATTTCACATATAGTATTTGCATTTCAATCCATTGCATTATTTCTGTTTAGTAGTCATATTATTCCATTTTATCTAGTGGCAACCTCTTCAGTTTGGTTCTTCTGTCCTTTGGTGTGACCCAGTTATTTTGATAGACTGTTGCCTATTTCCCAAGGTCATTATTTATATATATATATACACACACACACACACATTTTTTTTTTTTATTCCTCACCCGAGGACATTTTTTGTTCAGATAGAGTGGGAGGGAGAGAGGAAGAGAGAGAAACATCGACGTGAAAGGGGCACATCGAGTGGCTGCCACCCACACGACCAACCAGGGCCGGGGACAAACCGCAACTGAGGTACGCGCCCTTAGCGGAAATCGAACCCGGGTCTTTCTGGACTGCAAGCCGACGCTCTAACCTCTGAGCCAAACCGGCCAGGGCTCATCTTATATATATTTAAGGTTATAGGACTTCAAATTACTTTCTTTAATTTTTGTATTGGTATCTGTTTTCTCAATATTTAAAATCTTGGTTCTTAATGACCTTTACATATTTAAAAAAATTTTTTTCTGTCTCTTCCACCAGACAATTATAATTATATAACTTACACAATAAAGAATCAAAGTAAACAAATCGTTCGAACAACACAAACACTGCTGTCTTAGGAAACCTAGTCTCTTTTTCTTTTTTTCTTCATATCTAGTTCACCAAATTCTTGTGGGGTGCCTCTTTGAACATAAAATATGTGGCAAGTGTTTGTACAAAAATAATAGTGTTTCCAGAAGGTCACAGCACTGGAGGCAGAGGTTTCACTGCCGTTATCAACAGCAGCAGTGTGGAAAGTGGCCCGTGTCTAGCACAGGACTGAGCAGGTGCTCAGTGTGCAGTTTTTTTTTCCATTATAGATTTGGGTGATTTTAAGAGACCCTACAGGGCTGGAGTCCTAAAGGACAGTATTTCCAGAGGTCTTCAAGTTGTTGAGAAAAGGAATGACCCATGTTTACTCTCAGAGATTTGTGTTTGCTCTTGTTGGAGAGGGAGCCACATTCTTCAAGCAATGCTGATTGGGTTCTACCACTCAGATTAAAATTTGAGTATGAAAATGGGTTCTGTATTAATACAGAGACAACTGATTGCTATTTGGTGCTGCTGCTGCTTCAGTATCCACGAGAAACTAACTTGGTTTACTTTTTCTTCCAGATGATGGCCGTAAGAAAGCTCGAAATGCTTATCTCAATAATTCCAGTTACGAAGACGGAGATGAATATTTTGATAAAAACTTGGCACTCTTTGAGGTAATGTTAAGGAGAAAACTAGGACAGATTTTAGGAACAGAGATTTGAGAATAGTTGTTTTCTACCCCATTTGTTTTTTTGTTTTTTCCTGTATTGATTTTAGAGAGAGGGAGTGAAAGGGAGATAGAGAAACATCAATGAGAGAGAACATCGATTGGCTGCCTCCTGCATGCCCCCCACTGGGGATCAGGCCCACAACCTGGGCATGTGTCCTGACTAGGAATCGAACCGGTGACCTCTTGGTGCATGGGTTGACACTCGACCACTGAGCCACACTGGCCGGGCTAAGTGTAATAGTTTAATGTGGGGGGAAATAAAGTCTCATTGATAAATCGTCTTAAAATATTTACCTGTGAAATACTGATCATATTTACTTTGAAGTTTTCTGGTGAAGCAGTCACTTTGATGCTAATTTGCAGTGTGTTCTTCATCACTCATTTCTTCCATACTTCTGGTTTTATAGGAAGAAATGGACACCAGGCCAAAGGTGTCTTCTCTCCTCAACCGCATGGCTAATTACACTAATTTGACTCAAGGAGCAAAGGAACATGAAGAGGCAGAGAACATCGCTGAAGGGAAAAAGAAGCCCACTAAGGTGAGACCTTAGAAAACAAAGACAAATCACTCCACACCTGTCAGAATGGTCACCATCAACAAATCATCAAACAACAAGTGTTGGCGAGGGTGTGGAGAAAAGGGGATTCTAGTACACTGCTGGTGGGAATGCAGACTGGTGCAGCCACTGTAGAAAACACTATAGTGTTACCTCAAAAAGTTAAAAATTGAACTTCCATTTGACCCAGTGATCCCACTTCTAGGAATATACCCTACGAAGCCTGAAACACCAGTCAGAAAGAATATATGTACCTCTATGTTCATAGCAGCACTGTTTGCAATAATTAAGACCTGGAAACAACCCAAGTGTCCATCAGTAGATGAGTGGATAAAAAAGCAGTGGTACATATACACAATGGAATACTATGCAGCTGTAAGAAAGAAAGATCTCTTATCCTTTGACATGACATGGAGGAACCTGGAGAGTATTATGCTAAGCAAAACAAGCCAAGCAGAGAAAGACAAATATCACATGATCTCACTTATTTGTGGAATACAATGAACTAAACAAACTGCTGAACAAAAATGACCCAGAGACATAGAGGTAGGGTACAGACTGACAAACCCCAGAAGAGCGGGAGTTGGGGGGAAAGAGATAAACCACAGAACTTATATGCATGTATGCATAACCAATGTACATAGACAACAAAGCTGGGGAGGAGGGTGTTAATGGGGGGAAAAAGGAGAAACATCTGTAACAAAAACAAATTAAAAATAATTAATACAAGAAAAAAACAAAGACAAATAAAAAGAGCCCCATATATAAGAAAGGAGGAATATCCAGGGCATCACTCTATGCTCTGTGATAGCTATTTATTGAGTGCCTGATATATGCCAACACTGTACTGGGCAGTGGGTTCATAGCGCAGAAAGAACATATAATATCTCATTGTCATGCAGTCTAAATTTTAATCTGGTGACACCGTCCTTAAGATGTTTCAACTATGTTGGTAAATGTTCTAATTAAAATATAAGCAGGGTAAAGAGACTGAGGCCACCGGCCAGCAAGGGAGTCTGAGCAGAGGACATTGCTATTTTAGAGAGGCTGATAGGGTGATATTTGAGCAGGGCCCTAACTGCTGTGAGGGAGTGAGCCATGTGATAGCTAGGAGAAGGGCATTCCAGCAAGAGGCAGCCGCTCTTCAGAAGAAGAGTGTCCACGCGCCCATCTGCTATGCGCTCTCTGGGTTCTTCAGAGACCAAACGTTAGTCTTTTTTATCAAAATGAAAATATGGAACAATATTACAAGTTAGTTTTTTGGTTGTTCAGGGGTAAAACAACACTCAAATATTTGTTTTACCAACTGTATTTACAAACTACTATGAAGGATTTATACCAAATTCTGAAGACCAAGCCATTAGTCCATTTTTAAATGAAAAGGGAAAGCTAACAGCTTTGAACAACAGAAATTGTTGTTGGAGTGCAACTTAAAAGTTTATTTGTAGTCAAATGCCTATGTAGACACATGTGGGGACCTATGAAAGCTAAAAATGCATAGCTCTAGGAATAATAAAAGTATGGTGATACACATTTATAAGTTGGGGATTTTATATGTGCCTCTCTTAAGGTATTTGTTAAACTTATTATCTCTGCTTTGACATTAATGTGGTAGTTGGGGAGCAAGTTTTCATACCATAATAAAGAGATAAAGTCATCTTTTCTAGATGACTATATAATTTTTTCTTTTGTCAATGTCTTTTTTTTTCAGACCCCCCAAATGGGTACCTTCATGGGTGTCTACCTCCCGTGTCTACAAAATATTTTTGGAGTGATCCTGTTTCTACGCCTTACTTGGGTGGTGGGCACAGCCGGAGTTCTTCAGGCCTTTGCAATTGTCCTTATCTGCTGTTGCTGTGTAAGTGCAGAGGGGGCTCCTGGAGGTCACCTGGAACCTTGCCAGTGCTTCAGAGTATATGCACTTGACCTCTTTGGGAATAAAACAAAGAATACTAGGGAAAGACTCATTTCAACAGGAGAGATTATTTTGATATTAAAGTCAAAAGGATTTTCACTTATTTAGTGTCAGTTATTCGCTGCTTATTGCTCTAATAAGATGTACCAGAAATTACAATGGAAGTCTTCTACAGAAGTAGAAGATCTAGCCTGCAAAGGATTCAGACCACAAACAATTTGAGCTTGGTAGCACCAAAGTTGTGACAGAAAATGTGTTGTAAATGGGGTGTACTACTTCAGTAGAGTGTTGAGAAACAAAACTGATTGTTGTTTAGGGGTGAGGAGTGTTTGTTTTGTTTTGAAGTCTTGTTCATGTCCTCTTCCCCAGAAATTCAGATTTTTTTTTTCCGGGTCTTCTCTCCACCATACTGAGAACATTTTTCTTTTTCTCACACGATGATATGATTTTTATTAGAGAGTGGAAGGGAGAGAAAAAGAGAAAAACATCAATGTGAGAGAGAAACATCGATCAGGCCGGGGATCAAACCCCAAAACCCCGGTATGTGCCCTTATGGAAATCCAGCCTGCCACCTTTCCATGTGTGGGAAGATGCTCCAGCCAAGCAAGCCACACCAGCCAGCGCCATGCTGAGAACATTTTAATCTTCCTTTAATTTAAACTCCTGTTTCCCAACCACATCTATCAATTTTATTATAAGTTGATAGATTTTTAAAAAAATATTTTATTGCCCTGGCTGGATGGCTCAGTTGATAGGAACGTCGTGCTGTAGACCAAAAGGTTATGGGTTCAATTCTCTGTCAGGTCACATTCCTAGGTTGCAGGTTTGACCAATCAATGTTTCTTTTCTTTCTCTCTCTCTCTCTCTCTCTCTCTCTCTCTCTCTCTCTCTCTCTCTCTCCCTCTCTCCCTCCCCTCCCCTCCCCTCCCCTCCCCTCCCCTCCCTCTAAAATCAATAAACATATCCTCTTGTAAGGATAAAAAAATTATTATTTAACTAGCGACCGACCTCTGTTATTACTGTCACCATTATACCCTCCATGTGCATTATGCTCAGCAGAGTACTCTACAGAGAAGTGTAAGCAGTCATAGTCCGTATCATTATCAAGTTAAAATTAATGATACCATTTTTTTTTTTCCCCCAGTTTCTTGGTTTGGAAACTTTAGTGCTGTGTTTGGGCTCCCTGATTGCCTCTCACACCCACTCAGCTACCCAGGCCAATCATGTCTCCCTGTGAAATCTCTTACATTCAACCCTTCCCTTACATTCCCACTGCCCCTGCAGTCCTCACCTCTCACGGAACTACTGTAATAGCCTACTAACAGGTCACGCTGCTCCACCCACTCCCTGTCTGCAGGCCATGCTCTGCTCTGCTACCAGGTGGTTTTTAAAATACAGTTCATATGAGTTCAGTAATCCTCAGTAGTTCCTTTCCTTACTGAATATTGCTCTTGTTATTGTAGCCAGCCTTCAGTTGGTTTCTAATCTGCTTTTCAAGTTGTTTAGGAGATCCGGGGGAGATCAGTGGTTCTCAGTAGCACCTAACCTACCGATTCTGATGTAGGGGTATTTTAACAGAACTCTCCAGGTAATAGTAGTGTGACTTGTGTAATGAGTTGAACCACATCATCTCATTTCCATGCCATTAGGTATGACAGGTAACTCCCTCCATAAAAGTAGGTAGAGGTAAATTTTCCATCGGTTGTCTGTGGTCCACAGATGGGAAATAGTACAGAGATGTTCTCTTTATACAGTAACAGTCTTCTCCCTTCTTTTTCTTTATAGACAATGTTGACTGCTATCTCCATGAGTGCCATTGCGACCAATGGAGTGGTCCCAGGTCAGCAGGCTAAGTGTGGACTTCAGGGATTGTCGGTGATCACTGTGTTTATGATGTGAAGGCCAGAAGTGTAAACTTTCGAGGAATAGAATACCATTTCAATTTTTTTTTCTTTATTAATTTTTTAGAGAGAGAGGAAGGGAGAGAGAGAGAGAAATATTGATGAGAGAGAACTTTGGCCACTTCCTGCATGCCCCCCACTGGGGATCTGGCCCACAACCTGGCGATGTGCCCTGACCAGTAATCGAACTGGCGACCTCTTGGTGCATGGGTCGATGTTCAACCACTGAGCCACACCGGCTGGGCTAGAATACCATTTTAATCTGTTGGCCATAGACACCACTACTGTTTGATTTTAGGATCTCTTCTTTAAAAATGTCTTTATGTTCTAGGCTAGAATCTTTCATTTTTATTGTATTCTTAGCTTCCTTTATTATTATTTTATTTATTTTTTATTTTAAAAATATTTTTCTTTATTGATTTTATAGGAGAGGAAAGGAGAAAGAGAGAAACATCGATGAGAAAGAACATTGACTGGCTGCCTCCTGTGTGCCCCCCTCCAGGGATCAGGCCCACAAATTGGGCATGTACCCTGATCTGGAATTGAACTGGTGACCTTCTGGTATGCTGGTCGATGCTCAACCAGTGAGCTACACCAGCCGGGCTCTTAACTTCCTTTAGTTAGAAAATATTTTATTGGGCTTCTCATGCCTGTAGTAAATATTCTCTGATATTTTTCTAATACTGACAGATTGTGCTGCTCCCTGTGGAGCGTTAGCTGTGCAATACATCCTACCATGAAGGTTTCATCTTTTACTTCCCACTAGCAAATCTGCTTTTTGTCACATTCAACATTTTCAAAAGTCTCAAATATTTATTCTTCATGCATGTTTTTATTCTTACTATTTTTTTAATCCTCACCTGAGGATATTTTCCCATTGATTTTCAAATAGAGTGGGAGGGAGGAAGGGGGGGAGAGAGAGAGAGAAGGGGAGAGAGAGACAGACAGAGAGAGAAACATCAGTGTGAGAGAGACACAATTGGTTGCCTCCCACATGACCCTAACCAGAGCTGGGGGTGGAATCACAACCAAGGTACCTGCCCTTGATCGGAATCAACCCTGAGACTCTCTGGTCCGCGGGCTGATGCTCTAACAACTGGGTCAAAGCGGCCAGGGCTATTCTTCTTACTTATGATTGTTCACGTACCTCTTTGTGTTTTAGCTGGGGGCTCATACTTTATGATTTCCCGAGCACTGGGCCCAGAGTTTGGTGGAGCTGTTGGCCTCTGCTTTTATCTTGGTACCACATTTGCAGCAGCCATGTATATCCTTGGTGCCATTGAAATTTTTCTGGTGAGTATTCACTCAATTGTGTTCTACAGTGTAGATAATAATACAGATTTGGATTTATTTTGTTCTTTGTTGTCAAAGCTTCTGAGAGATCAGCTATAAGTGATTGATTATAATCAGCTAACCTGTTACAGGCATACCTCTTTTTTTTTGTTTTGTTAATCCTCACCCAAGGATATATTTTTCCATTGATTTTCAGATAGAATGAAAGGGAGGAAGAGAGAGAAACATCGATGTAAAAGAGACATATTGACTGGTTGCCTCCCACACAACCCTGACTAGGGCCAGGGATCGAACCTGCAACCCAGGTATGTGCCCTTTTCTGGGAATTGAACCCGCAACGCTTTGGTGCACGGGCCTATGCTCTAACCATTGGGAAAAACCACCAGGGCGGCATACCTCATTTTATTGCACTTCACTTTATTGTGCCTTGCTTTATTGCACTTTGCAGACACACATCGGCCTCCGAGTGTGGATATGCAGCAGAAAGGCTGAGGGTGTCCTTTGCCTGCCTGTTCCTTTCCCTCCACCCAGGCACCGCCACCTACCACCTCAACCAGGAAGTCTGTCTCCAAGGAAGATTTGTGCCAGTGGGGAAAAGGAAAATAAAGTTGTTTTTTAAATATCTTTATCTCAATGAAATAGAATGTTTTTCATTTATTTATTCACTGGGATATATTTCTTACTATTTAATAATAGCAGAAGTAGGACTTGGTAATCATTACAGTTATTTTATATAACCCTTCGAATATAAGTTATTATTGCATTCCTTATTTTTTTCTATTTGGAAATATAGGTATTCAGAACAGTATGTAGACAAAAATATCAGTGATATCCCATTTCTATAAGGCATTCTAGATCCAAATGGAAATTAGTCTATGTCTCCAGCCATTTTCTGTCTCAGCTTTACTTTCCTTGTGAAACCAAAGCAAACTACAACACCCTTTTACTTGCTTACTGTGAAATTACCTAATTTTCTACTTTTTTTGTTTAACAGGTATATATTTTCCCCCGGGCTGCCATCTTTCGTAGTGATGATGTACTCAAGGAGTCAGCAGCCATGCTAAATAACATGCGTGTCTATGGCACAGCCTTCCTGGTCCTCATGGTGCTGGTGGTCTTCATCGGCGTGCGCTATGTGAACAAGTTCGCCTCACTCTTTCTGGCCTGTGTCATCGTGTCCATCTTGGCCATCTACGCTGGAGCCATCAAGTCGTCGTTTGCCCCTCCACACTTCCCGTATGTTTGTTTCTCCAGCTAACTATTATTGTTGGGTAGTCATTGGCAGTATCTGCTGATGTGATCATTTCAAGTCAGAGTTTCAGTCTCTCTGGAATTTCCCTTTTGGATAAGCCCGTTTAGCATCTAGGCGGAAAGCCTCCCAGCAACCTGCCTCGTTTGTTCATGTTGATACTCTTCCTTGTGTCCCAAACTGTAACCATCATTTGGGTATAGATAGTTTTTTCCGAAACCCTCTGGTAATGATTATGCATATTTGAACTATTCATGAAGGGCTTTTCAAACAATATAGTTATTGCCAGCAACCTTTATAAAGTATTTAAATGTTGGATTCCTTTTATTAATGAAAAATCAAGAGTCAAAGGAAACCTAAACTACCTAAATACTTGTAATTCACTAAATTTTTAATTTTGTTGGTAACATAAGAAACTTCCGAGTCATAAAATAAAGGACAATAAATGTCATTATTTGCATTTATGTATCTCTGTGTATAAGTAGTTCAGGTACCTTAAGTATATTTTTAAAGCAGTAATGGATTTGTACAGATGTGTAACTCACAGGCTCCCCTGTTTTCCTCTTGGCTAGTGGCATAGGGACTGACCAGCACTGAGTGTTACATGAAATCTTGTTACAGAGATTGTCTTTGAAAAGTTCCCTGAATTATCCAGGGATTAAATTCATCAGTCCTGTGTTGATTTAACCTGATTACAGAAAAGTAGATTTTTCAAGATGAAAAATTAGGATCATAGAGATTAAATTACTTGCTCAAAGTTAATTAATAGCAGAGGAAGGCCCTGGCTGGTTTGGCTCAGCAGTTAGAGCACCGGCCTGTGGTCCAGAGGGACCCAGGTTCAGTTACCGCTAAGGGCGTGTACCTCAGTTGTAGTTTGTCCCCGGCCCTGGTGGGTCGTGCGGGTGGCAGCCACTTGATGTGTCCCTTTCACGTCAATGTTTCTCTCTCTCTCTGTTTTCCTCTCTCTCCCTGCCACTGTATCTGAACAAAAAATGGAAAATTGTCCTCGGATGAGGATAAAAAAAAAATAGCAGAGCAAGAACATGAACCCTGTGATTTTACTTCTTCTCTGTTAAAGAATGTCAACAATAGGTTCTATCATACTTTTTAAATCTGCCCATCTAGGGATGATAGAGCAGCTAGACACCCATTTTAGTGTCATAAAAATACTAAGGCTACATTCTGGCTATATCTTAACTTGGGATATTCCATGTTGTCTCTAGTTCTCTTTTGATGCTTCTCCTCTTTTTTGGTGGATAAAAGGTCATGCTGTGTGGTATTTTCTTTAAAATATTCCAGCAAAACAAGATTAAAAAAAACCTAGAAGAATGCATGAAACAAGATTGGGAAATCTTGAAAGTTGTTGAAGCTGAGTAATGGGTACATGGTTTATTGTGTGTGCATCCTATCATTTTGCAGTTTTTATTTTATTTTATTTTATTTATTTATTTATTTTTATCCTCACCCGAGGACATTTTTCCATTTTTTGTTCAGGTAGAGTGGGGGAGAGAGAGAGGAACAGAGAGAGAGAGAAACATCGATGTGAAAGGGACACATCGAGTGGCTGCCACCCGCACAACCGACCAGGGCCGGGGACAAACTGCAACCGAGGTACGTGCCCCTAGCGGGAACCGAACCCGGGTCTCTCAGGACCGCAGGCCGACACTCTAACCGCTGAGCCAAACCGGCCAGGGCTTTATTTTATTTTTTAAAGATGCATGAGAAATTCACTTTTTTTTTATTCCTCACCTGAGGATATTTTTCCATTTATCTTCAGATAGAGTAGGAGGGAGAGAGAGAAAAAAACATCAATGTGAGAGAGAGACACATCGATTGGCTGCCTCCCGCATGACCCTGACCAGGGCGGGGGACCAAACTGCAACCGAGGTACATGCCCTTGACTGGAATTGAACCCACGACTCATTGGTCCACAGGCCAATGCTCTAACCACTGAGCAAAACCGGCCAAGGCTCATTTTTCAGATTTTAAAAATTGCTTTGTTCCTCCTGAAAGGTATTTTAATTGTGGGTGTATTATTCCTTTGTTTGTATTTATATTTCCAGGTTAAAGAAAAAATAAAATCAGCGATGAATATTCGTGTTATCCTTAAATACCCTCTCTCCCACTGGGTCCAGGCTAATGTTCAAAAACAGTTTTCTCTTAGGTCACAGAGGGATGTGCTTTTTAATTCCAGCCAAGCTGTCTTCTTCCAAACAGTAGCCAGAGCTTTGACCTTTAGCAAAACATTCTCAAGGGGTTTTTTCTGAACATAAGGCTTTTCTAGGCCAAAATAAAATTAGGAGAAATTTTGTTTTGTAAGACCAAAAAAAGGATTAGGTCTAAGGATTCTTTTAGACCTAACAGTTGGTTAATAACCTAGAAATTGTGGATGATGAGTCAGCACAGTGTATCCAGACCATTCTTCTATTTGAATTTTCTCACTACCACCTACCATCTGTGTGACCTCATGCAGACTCCTTTATCTCCCTAGACTTCAGTTCCCTCATCTCCAAAATCGAAATAATACATATTTTGTGAGATTGCAATTGGGATTAAATTGGCAGAAGATGTAAGTCACCGTTTACAGAGCTAGTCAGTGAATACTTTCTTTCCCATCCGTGACAGCGAAGCTCTTGGAGATGACATTTGCCATTTTCCAACCTATTTATTATTTCCTAACCCATTTCTAACCTGTTTTCTTTTTAAAGATCTTCTTCCTTTGCTTCATTTTTCTCCCTGTTTTTTAACCCAGGGTCTGCATGCTGGGTAACCGCACCCTTTCGTCAAGACACTTCGACACTTGCTCGAAGACCAAGGAGACGCACAACCTGACAGTGCCGTCGAAGCTGTGGAGCTTCTTCTGTAACTCGAGTCAGTTTTTCAATGCCACCTGTGACGAGTACTTTGTTCACAACAATGTCACGTCCATCCAGGGCATTCCTGGGTTGGCTAGTGGTGTCATTAAAGGTGAGTTGGGAGGTTTTTAGACAAGTTTTTCCTTTTTCTCTGAGGAAAATGGGCTTTGCCATCTTAGACTCTTCTATAGTCCATGAAGACTCACTGCTAGGTGTCACTCCCCCGCTGAAGCTCAGCATACAGCCCTCAATTCAACATCTTTCTGCTTTTCTATTAGTGAATTTATTCTTTCCCAGGACTCTCTTGCAGTGTTGTCTGTGAAAAATTACCTCCTTTTGAGAGCAGAACTGAGCAAATCACTTTTTAACCTAGAGTAAGATAATAAAATATCCTTTGTGTTATTGTAAAAATACTAATGTTCTACCTGCCATGACAGCTAGAATGTAACTAATTCACCACATCCACATGGATGTTTTCCTAACTCAGCTAAATTTCTGAAACTCTCCTTAAGTGAGTCCTATTTTAAATGGTTGGTCCACAGACTTCTTCACATGTAAGCAAGTTTACACTAAGAAACAGCATTGCTGACCAATAAAAAATAATAATGGGCTTTGCAGGGAATTTAGCTGTAGTCTGCTTAAGTTTTACTACTTTGCATTAGTAAACTTCACTGGACTTGCACTTGTTTGTTATATTTGAACCAAATTAAGAAAGGGCATTAGTGCCCTGGCCGGTTTGGCTCAGCGGTTAGAGCGTCAGCCCACGGACCTGAGAGTCCTGGGTTTGGTTCCCGCCAAGGGCTCATACTTTGGTTGCAGTTTGTCCCCGGCCCTGGTTGGGGTCACGTGGGTAGCAGCCACTCGATGTGTCTCTCTCACGTCGATGTTTCTCTCTCTGTCTTCCCCCTCTCTTCCTTCTACTCTATCTGAAGATAAAATGCAAAAATGTCCTTGGGTGAGGATAAAAAAAAAAGAGCATTCGTTTTTCATTTGTGTGTGCTTTATTGTACAATAAGCAGGGCATATATATGTGCTCACGTAGAAGCACACAATGAGGGGTCTGATTTATAAGGTTATTTGGGTAGAAAATTATGTAATTATCTTCTTTCCTTACTGTTGCTGCTTATATCCCCCTTTTTTCTCACTGCAGAGAATCTTTGGAGTAATTATCTACCAAAGGGAGAGATCATTGAAAAGCCCTCAGCCAAATCTTCTGATGTTTTAGGCAGCTTAAACCATGAGTATGTCCTCGTTGACATCACCACCTCCTTTACTCTTCTGGTGGGGATTTTTTTTCCCTCCGTCACAGGTAAGCATTTGGGCTCTTGTCTATTTTAGAAGCTATCAGACAGAGGGGTTATTTTTTTTCTCAAGAGACAGAATTATATTCTCAGGGTGCCTCAGGAAATTAACTTGTTCTTTTTTCCTTCTCTAAAGGTATCATGGCTGGATCAAACAGATCTGGAGATCTGAAAGATGCTCAAAAGTCTATTCCCATTGGCACCGTCCTCGCCATCCTGACCACCTCCTTTGTCTGTATCCTTTTCATGGATCCAGCCTGAGTCTTAGTCATAGGAACATCCAGAGGAACAAGAGTGATCAGTGTTTTTATCCTGCTTATAAAGATAATCTGCTTTCCACCACATCGCTTCTCACCAGATAACCTCCCACTTCATCTTTAAAATTCAGGAAAGGATTTATAGGCTTAGTAGATGTGGCAGTTCATTTTACTAATGGAAGAAATGTCTTCAGTGTCTATTTTCTATCTCAGAGGGTGAACATCAATTTCCTTGACTCTCAATATCACAGATTTAAGCAATGTTGTCCTTTTTGGCGCATGTATTGAAGGCGTAGTTCTCAGAGACAAGTGAGTAGTTGATTTCTATGTAATAATTCTGTCTGTCTGCTGTTTTGTCTGATCATCCCACATAGCCCTAAGATTCAAAACTCTAAACCCAATCTGAGGTATCTAACAATTAGGAAACGTGTACAGTGTATAGCTCCCAAAAAGGTCAGTGAATAATAACGGCCAGAATGTTGCTATAAGTATGTGTGATGTGTTCCAGCTTGTTTTCTCAGTGGTTAGAGTGTCAGCCCACGGACCAAAGGGTTGCAGGTTCGATTTCCAGTTAAGGGCATGTACCTGGGTTGCAGTTTCCATTTCTGGCCCTGGTTAGGGTTGTGTGGGAAGCAATCAATTGATGTGTCTCTCACATCAATATGTGTCTCTCTCTCTCTCCCTCCCTCCCTCCCTCCTTCCCTCCCTCCTTCCCTTCTACTCTATCTAAAAATCAATGGAAAGCCGTGGCTGGTTTGGCTCGGTGGTCCGGAGAGACCTGGGTTTTGTTCCCGCTAAGGGCACGTACCTCTTGTCCCGGCCCTAGTTGGGTCGTGCAGGTGGCAGCCACTCGATGTGTCCCTTTCACATCGATGTTTCTCTCTCTCCCCCTCCCACTCTATCTGAACAAAAAGTGGAAAAATGTCCTCGGGTAAGGGAAAAAAAAAATATCAATGGAAAGATTGTGAAGATTAACAATAAATAAATAAATAAGGTGCAATGAATATAAATCTTCAATGAAATAGTGAATTTGTCTGAGTAACAAGGATTTTCCTATACATTAAAAGCTGTTGGAAAATCAAGACCAAAAGTCAAAGAAGGAGAGTTAAAAATGACTTCCAAGTGTCTCTAGTTTCTCCTCTGTGAGACATAAGTATGTATCTGTTTGGCATTATAAGTAATAGCTTGAAATTTGCCTTCTTCATTTCCTTCATGAAGGCTGCTAAGTGTTTTTTCTTATCACTATGAGTATAAAATATGTTTTTGCAAGAAATTTCTAGAAAAATCTTCCTCTGAAAACTGCTATATCTGTTCCCTTTTCCCTGTCTTGAGGAGTTAATAGCCTCACCATTCAGCCCTTTCACAGAAACCTAGGTGTCATCCTAGACTTTTTCCATCAATTCCCTCATCCAGTTAGTTTCTAAGCCCTGTAAATTCTATCTTTCACCTTAATAGATCTCATTCTTTCTACTGTTCTTTATTTTTATCACTTTGTACAGAGTTTCAGGACTTTTTGTAATAATCACTCTTTCAGTTTTACTACTTTCTAATAATCCTTCCATGCTGCCACCAGAATGATTTTTTTAAAACACAAAATTTGGTCATACAAGCCATCTGCTTCGGAGCCCGTCAAAGCCCCTTACAACCTATTACTTTGATCTGGCCCTGTCTATCTTTTTCTAATCTCATCTTCTGCCATTCCATCATAAACTCCCTCTGTTCCATCTTAAAGTTATATGTACCTTGTTTCAGATCTCCATCCATCCACACATTAATGTGGTTTCCTTTGCTTAGAATGGGTTATTCCTACCTGCTAGACTTATATTCATTTTCTGAGAGGAGGCTGTCTCCTCTCCTGTGAAGCTTTCCCACACTCACCCAGACAGAGAGGCACTCCTCCCTCTGTTCAGCCACTGCATTGAACATGCTGTATTACTGCGCTTCCCGTGCTGCAGCTACTTGTTTTCTCTGGTCTGCAGGCCGACACTCGAACTGCTGAGCCAAACCGGCCAGGCCTGCAGCTACTTGTTTTCATATCACTCTCCCCTACTAGGTCGAGTTCTTTGAGTACAGTAACCTTAATACAGGCATACTTCATTTTATTGCACTTCACTTAATTACACTGTAGATACTGAGTTTTTTGTTTTTGTTTTTTTTTTAACAAATTTAAGGTTGATGGCAACCATGTATCAAGCAAGTCTATCAGTGCCATTTTTTCAATAGCATTTACTCACTTTATATCTGACTGTCACATTTTGCTAATTCTCACAGTATTTAAAACTTTTTTAAAATCTATTTTTTAAATGTTTTTATTGAGTTTTTAGAGAGAGGAAGGGAGAGAAACATCAGTGTGAGAGAGAAGCATGGATTGGCTGCCTCCTGCACGCCCCCTACTGGGGATAGAGCCCACAACATGTGCAGGTGCCCTGACTGGGAATCAAACCAGGACCTCTCAGTCCATGGCATGATGCTTAATCCACTGAGCCACACTGGCCATGTTCAGACTTTTTCATTAGGGAGATTGGGAGGGGGGTTGGGGAGTGAGAGAGAGATGCACATCAATTAGTTGCCTCTCGCACAACCCTAACTTGGACCAGGGATCAAACCTGCAACCCAGATACATGCCCTTGACCAGGAATCGAACCTATGAACCTTTGGTCCATGGGCTGACACTCTAACCACTGAACCACACCGGCAAGGGCTGATTAGTGATCTTTGATGTTACTATTGTAATTGTTTTGAGGTGCAACAAATCATACCCATATAAAACTGCAAACTTAATCAATAAATGTTCTGTGTGTTCTGACTGCTCCACTGACTGGCATTCCCCCATCTCTCTCCCTCTCCTCAGACCTTCCTATTCCCTGAGACACACCAATATTGAAATTAGGCCAAATAGTACCTCTACAACAGCATCTAAGTTTTCAAGTGAATGGAAGAGCCTCGTGTCTCTCACTTTAAATCAAAAGCTACAAATCATTAAGTGTAGTGAGGAGGTCATGTCAAAAGCCGAGATGGGCCAAAAGCTAGGTTTCTTGCACCAAGCAGTCATAAGTTATTTCCAGATTAAATATCTCCACTCTTATTTCTCTCTCAGGTTTCTTGTACCAGTCTAAAGTTATTTATTTCCAGGATTAATTTCCCCACTCTTATTTCTCCCTCAGGTTTGGGGATGCTGTGAAAGGTAATCTGGTGGTAGGTATCTTGTCTTGGCCATCCCCATGGGTGATCGTTATTGGCTCCTTCTTCTCCACCTGTGGGGCTGGACTTCAGAGCCTCACAGGTGCCCCGCGGCTGCTGCAGGCTATAGCGAAGGACAACATCATACCCTTTCTGCGGGTGAGTGACTCTTGTGCTCTCTTCCTTTTTTCTCAGGTCTTATGAGAAACAGTGTGGTCTTTATAGGCTCAGAAATTACCAGATCATATAATATGAACACGTGTGGGTTTTTAGTATAAAACTCTCTAAATCCATCCTATAAGTTTGTATGTGAGTTAAGTAAAGACAGTACACTTGTAACACTGTTATCTTTTGGATATCTAAAACTGTAGCAGTGACTCAGACACTCCTTTGTCTGATGTTTCCCTTCTCTGTGCAGGTTTTTGGCCACAGCAAAGCCAACGGGGAACCGACCTGGGCTTTACTTCTGACTGCTGTCATCGCAGAGCTGGGAATCCTCATCGCCTCTCTGGATCTCGTGGCCCCAATTCTTTCCATGTGAGGGCCAGCGACTGTCTTTCCCTGTTCCTGCTTATGTGATATATAATCCATGTTGGTTTCCATCAGGCCTGTAACAGCAGTGATAACAACAGAGTGAGCCAAGTACAGGTGTAACTTCACCCTAGATAATAAACATTCCCGGGAAGTTTCATGTATGGCTAATTGTCATAGTTTCTTCCTACCGGTAGAACTTCACATATTCTTTGCCTTCATGTCTGATCATTATCAATTGGTGGTAGCATCTACTACTACTGTTAGCTTTTATTCATTGAGCTGTGACTTATTGATGACTTACTGCCTACATGGCACTGGGCATTATAGTGGGAAGACAAAGCTGATGGTAGATGAAGAAGCAGTGATCCCTGTATAGTGTGATGAGTCCTGTGGTCACGGTGCTCACTGAGTGCTGTAAGGACTCTTAAGTGAGGCACCTAAATGGACTGAGACTCAAGGAAGGTGTCCTAGAGGGAGTGACACTTCCATCTTGAGAGAAAACTGGTTGTTTGCTAGCAGCTAAGTGGCGAAAGGTATTCCAGGCAGAGGCCGTGCGAAGGAATTGAGGGTGACAGCGCAGCACACCCAGTGAGCCGGAAGCACTTGGGCTTGATAGCGGGGAGGGTGCGTGTGGGAAAGCACAGACCAGAGAAGCAGGCAGCACCAGACCACAACGTCCCTGGAACTTCTGCTCGAAGAAGGAAGGGGGTAACACTTTGAGAACAAAATGATTATAGTTATGTTTTAGAATGATCAATTTGGTACAAAAGATAAAACAGAAAGAAGCTAACATTGAGCCAAGAGTGCCAGTTGGAAGTTTATTTAACTGATGTACGAAGGAAGCAATGAGAGCCTGAACTGAGGTGACAGTGGTAGAGATTGTTAAATGTGTAGAATCCATAGGACATGCTAAGTGGATTTGGAACAGGATGAGTAATGGGGAACACCTGGGTGAGGAGTGGCTGTTTGGTGCTGAGAGAGAACATAGGAGAGTGAGCAGGTTTGTGGGGAGAAGTTCACATTCCTCTACTTCCTAGTCTTAATCAAAGGCCAGTGGGTTAGAACAAAGGCCAGTACAGCAGAGGCCCCAGTTATTTAAAATAGCCCTTGAAGAATCATTTTACAGTAATAGTCATTCCTCTTACATTTTTATTCTGCCAGGTTTTTTCTCATGTGTTACCTCTTTGTGAACTTGGCATGTGCCTTGCAGACATTACTTCGAACACCCAACTGGAGACCCCGGTTCCGCTACTACCACTGGTAAGTCTGCTTCCCCCCCCCCCCCCCATTCGGAAAGAGCCCATCATTGAACTTAGAAAAGTAGGACATTCTGGGATCTTGATAGAATTGTTTCCTTGGCCAGCTGTTTCAGCTTTTTAGTGCTTACCTGAATTTCTAATCCACTATTGTGTTTTTCATATATTCCTTTAAAATCATTGATAATAAAGATCAAAACTATAAAATAAATATTTCCATCCTGCTGCATCCTTCAGGTTAAAACAACTCTCCCTTTGCATGTCTCTTTTCCCATCCCCGTTAGCCAAGCACTGGACTTCCTTGCTTTCTGTCTGTGCTCCATATTCTCATCGGTTTCGTTCTCAAACTCTCTTCCTTATGAAATTTCATTTAGTAGTGAAAAATGTTGGGGGCGGGTGGGAGGGAAGAGAAAAAAAATTAACAACAACAACAAAAAAAAGTATGAGCTTTGGGGTCAGATGACCTAAGTTGAAATGTCAGCTCTATTTCCTAGCTTTGCCACCTTCCAGGAAGCACATAACCACGAAAGTTTCATTTGTAAAATGAAACTAATAGTATTACCTGCCTCACAGTTTGCTCTGAGATACTCTGAAGTGCTTAGCACCGTGCTTAGGACACAGTAAAGCTCTCAGCGAAATGTTGCCAAGGTGCTGCTGTCATGTGCAAGTCCTCTCAGTCCCGAAGGAGCTACCCCCCCACCTCCCCCATTCCTTTTCTCTCGTAGCTGAAAGTTCCTTAATATTCTTGTATGTACCTGTTGCTACAACCCTCTTTGCTAACTTTCTCCTTGACCTCGTTCCACTTCACTTTCCTTAGTGGGCATTGATGTGACCTTTATCTGACAAAAAGTTAGATCTTTAACTGATCTTAACACCTCCAATCCTCTTTCTAGCTTTAACTTTAGTTAAAAGTTCATTATGAACCTTTTTGTGTTACTATTTTGCTTTTATTGTTTTTTTCTTTTTCTCTTGCCACCCTGTAGTTTCATTAGTACCTACTCTTCTCCAGATTAAGAGCTCTCCTATTTATTCTTTGAAACAAATTATGGAGCTAAGAAGTTCATCACACAGAAGAACTTCAGTAAATGTAGTTATCTAAGTCATGGTTACTACATTTTACACAAATTCTGTCTGCAGTGGATAGGGGTTTTGTTTTTGTTTTTTAGAAAAAAACAATATCTTACCACAGTTTATAAAGCACTGCTATTACAGGCTTCTTTTGTACCTACTTAGAACACATTTTGTTTGTGATTTTGTTTTTAATTTTCTAGGACCCTCTCTTTCATGGGAATGAGTATCTGCCTGGCTCTGATGTTCATTTCTTCCTGGTATTATGCCATCGTAGCTATTGTAATAGCTGGTATGATTTACAAGTACATTGAGTACCAAGGGTGAGTCTGTGCATCAAAACTGGCTAGTTTGGTTAGAACCAACCCAAAGAATATTGCATTAGGATCCAGATAACTTCATACATTCATAGCTAAATTTTGTACCCCTGAGGATTCTCTTAACCATCCTATAGACATAGCTTTTAATCATAAGGGGAACCTGTTGGGAACATATGAATGGATTGATGAAAAAATAACTAAAAGGACATATCCAAATAACAATGAGTATTTAAAAAAGTATAATACCAATATAAATACCTCTTTAGTCAAGGCATTTCTCTGAAATGAAAAAGAAGTTAGTCCTGAATAACTTTGTAACAATTAAGATTTGACTAACAACTTCCAAAAATTAGCAATAAATAACACTGATTCAGAAGATTATGTTGAGTTTTACTTTCTCCCATTATTTCCCAAATAAACTTGGGTCTGTATTAGCTTCCTAATTCAAATTGCTGTTTTATGTTATTGCTTTGAAAAGTTACAAAGAAGGGCAAGTGAATGACCCTTCCAGCCTTTAAGCCTTTATTCTTTTTAAAATTTTTTTTTCTTTTTATTGATTTTAGAGAGGAAGGAAGAGGGAGAGAGATAGAAACATCGATGAAAGAGAACATCTATTGGCCACCTCCTGCATACCCCCCTGGGGATTTGGCCCACAACCTGGTCATGTGACCTGACTGGGAATCGACCCAGCGACCTCTTGATGCATGGGTTGATGCTTAACGGCTGAACCACACCGGCCAGGCTATTCTTATTTTTTTTTTTGTTAGTCCTTACCCAAGGATATTTTTTTCATTGATTTTTAGATAGAATAGAAAGGAGGGAGGGAGGGACAAAGAGAGGGAAAGAAACATCAATGTGAAACAGACACATTGATTGGTTGGGCTGGTGATCAAACCTGCGACCCTTCAGTCCAGGGGCCAATGCTCTAACCACCGAGCAACTGGCCAGGGTGCACGCAGCCAAACGTAGCTGTGGTGCAGTACAGGCTGTTGACCAGTAGTGGTGATCTGCTTACAGTGAGATTATGTTAGTGAAGAGCATTATAGAAATCGCTGATCTGAGTTTTAATCTACTTTTAGATTCAGAAAAAATAACTTTATTTCTTGAAATTGTACTTGCTGTGGTTTAAATTTATTTCTGCCCTTTTTTCCTCTTTCTCCCAGAGCTGAGAAAGAATGGGGTGATGGTATCCGTGGGCTATCCCTCAGTGCAGCCCGGTTTGCTTTGCTTCGGCTGGAGGAAGGACCTCCTCACACCAAAAACTGGAGGTAAAGAGGGGATGGGGGGAGGGCGAAATGTACAAAAGGGGTCAAATATATGGTAATGGATACAAACTAGACTTTTGGTGGTGAGCACTCAATAGTGTATGCAGATATTGAATTATATTGTATACCTGAAATTTATACAATGTTATTAACCAGTTACTTCCGAAAAAAATTTTTTTTAATATAAATAAAAGACTTTTTTAAAAAGAAAGGAAACCAACAGAGCTTTAATGGTGTTTGGCACCACACACAGAAATGTGTGTGTCATTGATTATGGGATAAGGAAATCATGTGGCTCAAGGAATTGGTGTAATGGACCTGTTTTGAACTGTCCAAAATCCTTGATTTCTTTATTCTTTTTCTTCATGTGATTTATGATCTAGATTTCTACCATTTTTATCCTTCCTTGGAGATTGATCAATTTGATATAATACTGGAAGGATTCAAAATAATTCTACACTCTCATTATTTATTTCTTCTCATCTCTTCCTTCTGTCAAATTACATGTTTTATACAAATCTCCTGAATTAAGGGGTAGAATTGTCATTTTGTTCCCCTAACCCAAAGTGTTGTCTCGCCCACACTCCCATCCCCATCCCCCTACCAATTTCTTTACAGGCCTCAGTTGCTTGTATTGTTGAAACTGGATGAAGACTTACACGTGAAGCATCCTCGTCTCCTCACCTTTGCTTCACAGCTTAAAGCAGGAAAGGGTCTCACTATTGTGGGCTCTGTCATTGTGGGGAACTTCCTGGAGAACTATGGTGAAGCTTTAGCTGCTGAACAGGTAAGAGTCAAGGCTTTTTGACTCCGTGGAATTGAGCTTATGGAGTTGTGATGTGAAGTAGTAAGACCTCAGATATCCAAATAGTCCTTTTCCTGAGTGATCTAGGAGATTTTCCTCTGCTGGTTTTTGAACAGTCATATTCTCCCAGATAATAAGATGAGCCAGAGGATAGTAATATATTCTTTCTTCCTATTGAAACCATTACTAAACTATAAGCTTATCCAAGCTAAGCATTATTTCCAGAAGACTTCAAACATGGACTCAGCCCTGAGAGAAGTCATGTAAAAATAAATGAATCTTTCTGCCCTGGCTGGTTTGGCTCAGCAGTTAGCATTGTCAGCCTGAAGACTGAAGAATTGAGGGTTTGATTTCCAGTCAAGGCACATACCTGAGTTGCATGTTCGATCCCCAGCTCTGGTCAGGGTCATGTGGGCGGCAACCAATTGATATATCTCTCTCTCATCGATGTCTCTCTCTCTCTCTCCTTTCCTCCCTTCCACTCTACCTAAAAATCAATGGAAAAATATTCTTGGGTGAAGATTGACAACAACAAAAGAATGAATGAATGAATGAATGAATGAATAGATCTTTCCTTCAGAATATGGAGATGATTCTTCTCAATCTTGAGACAGGAGCAGTGAGCGATTTTTCTTCCTCTTTACTAATCTACATGGTATCATAAGCAAAATTTCTTTGCTACTTCTGATTAGCTTACTTAATATTAAAATTCTCCCTGAAGAAGAGGCTAGTTTTCACTCTAATACTTCCTATAAATGATAGAACTAACCCTTTGTTTGGAAAAATTTTCAGTTATATTTCAAATTTTTTACTGGATTTCATTTTGGAGTGCTATGAAACCCAGAAAACTAGAAACGTTGAAAAAAAAATTAGTCCAGAATGATGGTACAAATAAATAAAAAGCACAGTGTTGGAGATCAAGAGACCCTATATAATATCCTCGCTAAACTACTGAATTAATCTATTCCTTTGGGAAATCATATCCATTTTCCACATCATTATTCCTTTCACCTTTTGTAAGAGTAAATGAAATACATCTCCAAACTGACTTGAATAAATAATAGTAAAACAAATGTGTCATCAATAATCACCATTAAAATAGCAAAAAGAATATAGAAATAGGAGAGACAAAAAAGAAACCATACCTGAGAAAATCCTAAAGTGAAATTGAATTATCAGATTAAATTTTTAGTAATATGAGTCAAGGCATGCCTAACTGAGGAAGGAAGTATTATGGGGGAAATTGAGATATCCCTTTCCCCAATGAGTGCTGGGGGTGGAGTCCTTACGATAGCTCAAGAAAAATAATTTCCTGAGATTCACATGGGAGAATGAGTGATTTTTATTTGCATGGAATTATGTCCCTAGGTTTTGTTTTTGTTTTTGTTTTTGTTTTTTTAATCCTCACGTGAGGATATTTTTCTATTGATTTTTAGATAGAGTGGAAGGGAGGGAGGAGGTGGGAGGAGAGAGAGAGAGGGAGAAACATCGATGTGAGAGAGACACATCGATTGGTTGCCTCCCCACAACCCTGACCCAGACCAGGGATCAAACCTGCAACCCAGGCACATGCCTCTGACCAGGAATTGAACCCAAGACCCTTTAGTCTGCAGGCTGACCTCTATCCACTGAGCCAAATGGCCAGGGCCATCCCTGTGTTTTTAAAGTCCCATTCCAGTCATAGCAGTATAAAAGCAAACCCAGTGTCCAGAGTTTTCATTCAATGCTGCAGCCGAATCCAGTTCAGCATGAGGCTAGTTACAGTCCATTAGCCCATGTGTGTGTAGGGGTCCACGTAGCCGTGGGCTATGTGAGCTAGACAATGTGGGCTATGCAGTCTTCCTGCAACAAGAATCCCAAGAGAGCCAAGAGCATGAACTCCTTTCTTCAGGGAATTAAGTGTCCCAAATCTTCCCAAGCTTGCAGTGGCCACATCCATTCTGGCCAACGACCTCTGTTCCCAGGTGGGAACAGCAAGCACCTTTGCTAGTCCCCACAGTTTTACTTGGCATGCATCTGTTATTGGGGTAATTGAGGTATCCCTTTCCCCACTGCGTGCTGGGCTTGAGGTCCTTACCGTATTTCGAGAAAAAGAATTTTCCAAGACTCACAAGGGAAGATTAGTGATTTGGGTGGAATCATAACCCTGGGTTTTCAAAGTCCCATTTCCCTTAATCCAGTCCTGGAAGAAGTGTAGCTGGGGATTCAGTAGAGCTAAAAGCAAAGCCAGTGTCCAGAGTTTCCGTTCCGTGTTGCAGCCAGGTCTAGTTCAGCATCAAACTAGTTACAGTCCATTGTGTTTGTGGGGTCTGTAGGCGAGCCAAGAGCGTGAGCCCCCAAGAGTCCCAAAAGAGCCAAGAGCAACCAAGAGGAGCCAAGAGTACAAGAGAGTGAGTTCCTTTGTTCAGGATATTAAGTATCCCAAATTTTACACCCTTGCAGTGGCTATGCCTATTCTGGCCAGTGATCTGTTCCCAGGTGTGACTGACAGGCAAGTACCTTCCCTGATCCCCCCCAACTTTACTGGGCATGTGTCTATCTCCCCCCTGTTTATTCCCTTCCCCCAGCAATCTTTGTGGAACAGACTGATCACTCCCTCGGGAGTGTAAAGCTTTAGCTTCCTGGTGAAGCTGCCCAAGTGACATGTCTGCAATATTTGGCCTTCCCTTTGCCCCTTTCCTGTTATTAATAACTAGGCTAATTACATAGGTATTGCTCTCTCCTGAGAAAAAAAGGAACCTCTTTGTATTCTTACAAAGGAGAAGTGGACGAAGGGCTCTATCTTCACGTCAAGAGGGAGTAGACCTGCCTGTGCCAACCTCAGAGGTTTTCCCTGTCTCTCAAAGGAAGGAGGCAGCAAAAGGGAATGGAGTCTCCATGTAGGGAAGAGGGATTTTGCAAAGTCCAGGTCAGTCTGGTGTCCCTGGAAGGTGACACGGGCGAAGTACAGGAGGATGATGTATTGGACAAACTGGTATTCTTGTTGTATTCTAGAAATGACAAACTTGACAAGAAGGTTAAACGGCATAATTCAAAAGTGAGGAGACTTACAGTAACCAAAGGTCTAGTGAGAGAGAAAAACTCATGTGATAAGAGGAAAAATTAACTTATAGTGTCCCCAATTAGGTTGGAGGAGTAGCTTCTCTGCAGAGGTGTGTTACACCTGTCTGAAGTCCTTTTGTCCACCATACTTAAATCAAATTAAGCTAAGGGAAATATTCTAGGATTTTCCCCATGAGAAACTGTGGGTCTTTTCTGTTTGAACCATTTGGGCAGAAAAGGGAAAACAGTTTCAAGTGAAACCACTAAACTGTCCATACTTCATTGAGTCAATCATAAGTCCAGACTGTTGAGTCTCATTTTAGAATACAGTGGTGCAGACGGCTTCTACAATGAGGCCTACATTGTGTGAGCAAGCAGTCAAGGTAAATAAGGATATGTCTATACAGTCTATGAAAATGGAAAAATACAAAGGTTAGTGTCCATAGCAAATCATAAACTAGTTGAGAAGACTTCCAGATGTAAGGCTTTTACTGGAATGAAATTACACAGTGACAGTCTGATAGATAGTCTGCAGATAGAACATCCCTGGTGATATCATTGGGTGCTGAGGCCTGTATGGCATATACAGACACAGCCTTAAAAGGAAAACTTTGAAAACAACCGCACTGGAGTCCAGTATCCATAATTGGACATGGTGATTTTCATGAAAACATACTTTTTCTCCCTAAGATTACTCTCATTTTCAAAGAGACTGTATCAGGTCCAGTTTCGTTTGGCCTGGTTATTTGCATAAACACAAGAATAGCAACTGATCAAATCAGTCAAATTTTACATTTGTTTTGCTGGAATTTTCACAAGGAATCTTTAGATTTGACCATCAGTGAGCAGTCAGCTCCTCAGAATGGAGAAGCCAAGCCCATTACCATCAGGCTTGCCTAGAATATCTGCAGGTTTGGGTCAAGTCCTCAAGTCCTTGAAGTCCCAAAAGACTGCTGTGAACCCCGTAACCAAGTTAGGCCATCTCTGCATGTGGCTTTTGATTGGCTTTGATCAGCTTTGAGAGTCAATCTCAATTCCTTATGGCTTTCTGGTAACATTCAGAATCCAGGCATGTCTTTTAAACATGGCATTCCAGTCAGAGTCTTGGTTAATAAGACCTCATGGTTTGGAACTGATCTTACTGGATTTTTGCAAAGAAGTGTATTGCCATTACTCACTTATTAAGAATGCCAAATTCTGGAGGAATCAGGTAGGGAGAAAAAGCAAACATACTCCATAACTTTTAGAAACATAGGTTTCTTTACTGGCAAATACACTGACACTCTGAGACATACTTCCAGCCTGGCTGGTGTGGCTCAGTGGTTGAGCTTCAACCCATGCACCAAGAGGTTGCCGGTTTGATTCCCGGTCAGGGCACATGCCCAGGTAGTGGGCCAAATCCCCAGTCGGGGGGCATGCAGGAGGCGACTAGTCGATGTTCTCGCTCATCAACGTTTCTGTTTCTCGCTCCCTCTCCATTCCCCCCGCTCTCTCTCTAAATCAATAAAGAAAGAAAAAAATGAAAGAAAAAAAAAAGACATATTTCCAGCCCTGGCCGGTTTTCTCATTGGTTAGAGCATCAGCCTGTCGACCAAAGAGTTACAGGTTCAATTCTGGTCAAGGGCATGTACCTTTGTTGTAGTTCGTCCCCGGACCTGGTCGGGGTCATGCAGGAGGCGACCAGTCAGTGTCTCTCTTACATCAATGTTTCTCTTTTTCCCTCTCTCCCATTCTATCTGAAGATAAATGGAAAAATATCCTTGGATGAGGATTTAAAAAAAAAGAGGGAGACATACTTCCATGGAGACAAGTATACAGCAAAACTCACTGATTTAGCAACTCACAAAGGAACTGAATTCAATTGAGTGGCTCAGATGGTTTAGGCTTAGATAAGATCTATTTCCCAGAATCTGCATTCCAAAAGATGGTGAAGATGAGTCCTTGGAGAGCAGAATGAAATTTCATGCCAGAATAGGTACTGTACACTTGAGAAATGGAGACTGTATTGCCATTTACTTCAGGGAGAAAAAACAAAACAAAATAAGCAATCTTTTATCCCCTTTTATTCTCTTAAAAGAAGGAGATTTGATAGCTGAGGGAGGCATGAAATCCATCTATGTTCCCTTAGCTTCCTGTCATAGAGCAGAATCCAAGGGGCCTATCACATTTTAGCCACCATGAGGACCCATGGCAGTCCAACCTAAGCCTCCTGGGGGAATTGACATTCGCCCACAGTCTGAAGTGCCTTCCGCACCCAAGATAGAGACCTTTCCTAAAACGGTAATACAGTTGTCCAGGTACTGGGCCTTTAATTCTACATGGAAGATTCTGAATGCCTCTGACCTTACTGGAGGCTTTTATCCTTTACTGTTGTGGGTAGAAAAAGTCTGACTCTTTTAACTTGCCTGTAATATAGCTGGGCTAGCAATCTGTTGCTGTCTCATATTTCTAACAGCTTCAGACCCTTAAGAGGCTTGGCAACATGAGACAGTTTCCCTTAAGTCTGGCTGGAGAGAATTTAATGCAGCAGGCCCTCGGCACCCTCCCCCCCCTAGCACACAGTCACCAGGTACCAGGTCCAGGGTGCACCCCCTAAGCCTGCAGGGAAAAAGGGAAAATTCCCAGGCAGTGTTCTAGGGGAATTCGAGTTGCCTGCACGCACGCACCCAGTGAAGGGGAAAAGGCAGGGAGATGCAGAATGGAACCAAGCTGTTCCCACGGCAGCTGGGCATTGTGGCTGAGAGACTATCCTCCTGCACACCACAGGGGTTGGAGGGGAAGCAGCGGGGCACTTTGATTGGAGAACTCGCAGGGTGCAGGGGCCAGGAGGCAGAACTCTGCGTCCCAGTAGTAGTCTCAGCCGCCTTCTGCCCCTGCGCTCCCTTTCCCCTTGTACCATGGGCCTGTGAAATCCAGAAGGGAGATGGGAAGCGGCACCTTGGGCCCCACGCTAGGGGCACAGGGTTTGCTGGCACTGGGGTAAATATCAAGGCAACAGTGAGTGTGCACCAGCTCCTTCCATTTTGTTTTTCCCTGGCACCCATCAGCATATTGCCCTGGGGTGTTCCCAAGTCACAGTTTGAGTTGCACAGGTTGGGAACAGAGAGGAGAGAAACTGCAGAAATGCAGGCAGAATGCAGAGAGTTGGGCAAGAGTTATGTCCTGCAAACCGGGAGGAGAACTTGGTGCTAGGCATGAACTTCGTGGCCACGTCAGGCTGCTGGCCCCTCCCAGGGCCTGAAAGAAGCTAGGTTTTTGTTCTTTTTTTTTCCTTGCTGGGAGTCACCCTTAAGCCCGCCTTTCCCCCTGGGCCCAGGGGCTCAGAAGCCAGGGATATCTCCAGACCATCCGAGAAGGGTCTCCTATAGCCGTCCTTTCCTAGCCTGTGCTGTCGAGTTCTGTGCCCCTGGGCTGCTGAAGCAGCACTGGGCACACCTGCCCTGGCAGTGCCAGAGGTGGGCAGGGCTGAGGCGAGGAAGTGGACCAGGACAGAGAGAGGGATGTAAATGATGGTAAACCTCCATATCTGGGAGGGGAGCTTTCATCTCACTGCAGTCCAGTTCAGGTTTGCGTCCTTCCCCGTGCTGGCCAGCTGCGGGCCAGAATGGCTGCAAGCATGCAGGGTCCCAGTCAGCTTCTACTCCTTCTGCTGTTTTGCCCTCCGAATGCTGGTTTGGAGGCTGTGAGTGGGAAAGGAGCAGAGAGATGCATTCCATACTTTAATCCTCTTGTTGAGTTGCATCTGGGTCAGCATTATATTATCAGGGAAGTTGGGGTATTCCTTTCCCCACTGAGTGCTGTGGGTGGAGTCCTTATGATATCTCCAGGAAAAGAATTTTCTGAGACTCTCATAGGAAGATGAGTGATTGTTATTTGCGTGGAATCATATCCCTGGGTTTCCTAAGTCCCATTTCCCTTAATCCAGCCCTGGACCAGTGTAGCTGGGGATTCAGTAGAGCTAAGAGAAAAGCCAGTGTCCTGAGTTTCTGTTCCCTGTTGCAGCCAGGTCTAGTTCAGCATCAGACTAGTTACAGTTCTTTAGTCCATTATGTGTGTGGGTGAATGTAGGGAAGCCAAGAGAGTGGGAGTCTCAGAAGAACCAAGAACAACAAGAGAAACCAAGAGCAAAAGGGTACAAGAGCCCTGGCCGGTTTGGCTCAGCAGTTGGAGCGTCGGCCTGCGGACCAGAATCCCAGGTTCGGTTCCCGCTAGGGGCACGTACCAAAAAAAAAAAAAGTACAAGAGAGTGAGTTTCTTTGTTCAGAGTATTAAGCAGCCCAAATTTTACACCCTTGCAGTGGCTGTGCCTATTCTGGCCAGTGATCTGTTCCCAGGTGTGACTGACAGGCAGGTATCTTTTCTAGTTCCCCCTAACTTAACTGGGCATGCGTCTTTCTGCCCCACCCCCATCTGTGGGGACTAGACCAGTGGCTCCCTGAGGAGTGTAAAGCTTTAGCTTCCTGGTAAACTGCCCAAATGACACACTGATAACATTTGGCCTTCTCTTTGCTCCTTTTCTGTTACTAATAACTAAATTAATTACATAGGTATCAGAAGGAGACCTTGTTCACACTCACCCTGGTCAATTAAGAAAGAATACTGACAATTCATTTTGTGAGGATCCCTATTCTGAATTTGATATGTTACAAAGAAAAAATAGCAGAATAGAAAGAAAGGCAGAGAAACTATATGTAGACAACCACCTATATATATATATATATAGTAAACACTTAAAAAGTGAAAAAGACAGCCCTGGCCAGGTGGCTCAGTTGGTTGAAATGTCATCCCATACACCAAAAGGTTGCGAGTTTGATTCTCAGTCAGGGTACATATCTCAGTTGTGGGTTCGATCCCTGGTCAGGAACATGTACAGGAGGCAACTGATTGTTTTTCTCTCTCTCTCCCTCTCTCTCTAAAGTCAATCAACATAACTTGGGTGGGGATTTTTTTTGAAAAATGAAAAAGACAGGATCATGAAATTTCATTGGGATAACTTTAACTCTTTGGACGTTTCTATAGGGGATATGATCTTAGGCAGAGTTTAGAAAGAGCAGTGGAATTAGAGAAGGAGTAATAAGTGAAAAGGTCCAGGACGAAGCCATTTAGTGTTGAAGTTCTGTCTCTTTCAGACCATAAAGCACCTAATGGAAGCGGAGAAGGTGAAAGGATTCTGCCAGCTGGTGGTGGCCGCCAAGCTGAAAGAGGGCATTTCCCACCTCATCCAGTCGTGTGGCCTTGGAGGCATGAAGCACAATACAGTGGTGATGGGATGGCCTAATGGCTGGCGCCAGAGTGAGGATGCTCGATCTTGGAAGACTTTTATTGGTACAAAGCACTTATCATACTATCCCAAGGGCCCAAATAGGGCAGATAGTTAAATCGCTGTTACCCTGACCCCAACTCCTAGCCTCCTAAATAGAGGCTATGCCATTGCTGAAGCATGGTCTTATAAGGGCTCCTAAATAACTGCTGATTGTAATGACCTTATTCTTCTCACCCTCTCTGGCTTTACATTAGGTTCAGGATGGCTTATCTCTGTCAAGTCTCATGTTAGGGATTATCTGTGAAACTGACATATTTTTATTTGTGAGCTCCCCCATTGACATTCCCACAGGAATCGGAAGGGTTGTCTGTCAGCTTCAGAATCTCCCAAATTCACATATCCCCCCTTAGAAATGTACTAAACAGAACCTAGTAGTGTACGTCATGGTAGACCATCTAACTCTGTTAGCTTTTCCGTTTTTTTCTGGGTGATTTTTGTTACTCGAGGAGGTATAAGCTGCTCAAAGAGCTGTGAGGAGCATCATCCTTGCTTTCCTGTCAGGTGGGCAGCAGGGCGGGCCTCGGGTTCTCCGCTTATCCTGTGTCTCTCTGCTCTCCCTAGGCACAGTCCGCGTGACAACTGCTGCCCATCTGGCCCTGCTAGTGGCTAAGAACATCTCGTTCTTCCCCAGCAACGTGGAGCAGCTGTCTGAGGGCCACATTGACGTGTGGTGGATCGTGCATGACGGGGGCATGCTCATGCTGTTACCCTTCCTCCTCAAACAGCACAAGGTACGTTAGGCACTTCTCAGAGACTCTCTCCCTTAACTTCTGTCCTGTTTGTTAGGTAACTTCTCCCTCTTTGATTATATAGGGTTGAGGCTTAGAATCAGAAGAGCTGGGGGCATTCCTGGCTCTCTCATAATACCAGTTTCAACCTATCTCCGAATGAAATTCTGTAAATTGATAAGTTTTATATGAGTCCTTGGAAAAACTATTAACAAGTAAACACATTCTTTTTAAAAATAAATAAATAAATAAATAAATGAATAACTGACTGACTGTGGAGGGATTGAGCAAAAAGAAAGAGAGCGAGAACTCATGGACACGACAGTGTGGCATTGCGAGGGTGGAGGGGGAAGAAGACACAGGAGGTATAAATAGCGATGGAAAAATAAAATAAAATAAAGATCAAAGTCTCTCAGATTTTGGAAACCCAAGGTTATGCACGTGTGTGTGTGTCAATTAAACTGAAATTTTATTTTTTATTATTATCTTTTAATCCTCACCCAAGGATATTTTTCCATTTATCTTCAGATAGAGAGGGAGGGAGGGGTAGATAAGAAGAGAGAGGGAGAGAGAGAGAAACATCAATGTGAGAGACACGTTGACTGGTTGCCTCCCACACAACCCTGACAAGGGCCAGGGACCAACCCGAAACGCTTTGGTCCACGGGCTGACGTTGTAACTGCTGAGCCAAACCAGCCAAGGCTAAACTGAGATTTTATTTTTATTTTTTTTTTAGTCCTCACCCGAGGACATTTTTTGATATTTTGTTCAGATAGAGTGGGAGGGAGGGAGGGAGGGAGAGAGAGAGAGAGAGAGAGAAACATCGACGTGAAAGGGACACATCGAGTGGTTGCCACCCACACGGCCCAACCAGGGCCGGGGACAAACTGCAACTGAGGTACGTGCCCTTAGCGGAAACCGAACCCGGGTCTCTCCGGGCCGCAGGCCGACGCTCTAACCGCTGAGCCAAACTGGCCAGGGCTAAACTGAAATTTTAAATAATAAATATAGTCTGTATGCATGGTGTCATCAATATGCTATCTGAATAAAGCGTCCTCTTAATGTATCACATGCCATCTTTTCCCTTTTCGCCAGGTGTTTTGTTTTTGTTTGTTGTTGTTGTTGTTGTTGTTGTTAATCCTTACCCAAAGATATATTTCTATTGATTTTTAGGTAGAGTAGAAGGGAGGGGTGGGGGAGAGAGAAACATTGATGGGAGAGAGAAACATTGATGGGAGAGAGACACACTGATTGGCTGCCCCCTGCATGACCCTGACTGGGGCTGGGGATCAAACCTGCAACTCAGGTACATGCCTTGACCAGGAATTGAACCCGAGACCCTTCAGTCCACAGGCCGACGCTTTAAGTTCTGAGCCAAACCAGCCAACACTGCCAGGTGTTGTTTTGTTATGAAATTAAGAACTGCTTAAAAGATCCCTGGCCAGGTGGTTCAGTTGGTTGGAGCATCATCCCATAAACCAAAAAGGTTGTGGGTTTGATTCTCTGTCAGGGCACATACCTAGGTTGCAGGTTCAGTCCCCAGTGGGACACATCAGGAGGCAATCAGTCAATGTTTCTCTCTCTCCCCCCCCCCCCTTCCTCTTTCTCTAAAAATCAATGAAAACATATCCTCAGGTGAGGATTTAAAAAAAAAAAAAAAAGAAGACCTGCTTAAAACAATGTTTAATGTATTTCTTAGTCAAGAGTTTGCCCAGTACAATAATGTTGCAGGTAGGAAGCTGGGAACCAACACCCTGCTACTGTAGCAAGGTGTTCTAGGTAAAAATGCCTGTGGTTTAAGAAATAACTCACTTTGCCTTCTTGCATCAAATTTTCCATGTATGTATGGTGCTTTCTCAGGTGTGGCGAAAATGCAGCATACGGATCTTCACCGTGGCCCAGCTGGAGGACAACAGTATTCAGATGAAGAAGGACCTAGCCACCTTCCTGTATCATCTGCGCATTGAGGCGGAAGTGGAAGTGGTGGAGATGGTGAGAAAGCTGAATCGAGATCTAAGAAACCAGCCTCCCCACCCCATTCTGTCTTCCTAGTACCGTTTCTGGTTTGGGAAATTCTTTAGCTGCAAATGTAGATTAATCCCTTAGTTCCAACCCTAATATTTGTTTTCTTCTTTGTTATATAGCCCTTACATTTCTGTCAGATTTGTGTCTGCTAATATAATTTTCATTCATGTATTCATGCTGAAATCACAGAGAGCTGTGTTTTTGTTTTGTTTTTTTATAACCTAGCAGTATTAAGGGAAAAAAAAACAACTAGAGTTTGTTTTCTGTTTCAAGGAAACACATATGTAATGGTTAGATTATGGACAAGATTCTCAGGGCTTCTGGATTCGATCTACAATAAACAGTATTGTGTTTATGTAGCTCAGTGACTAAACAAAACAAGTGAAACAGGTCGATCTTGTGATACTTCCTCTGGTTTAATTTAGTGGGTGGAAATGAACATGTGTGTTTCATCCTTCTTTCTCCTTTCTGCTTGTCACCCACTCTGAATATGTGGCAGCATGACAGTGACATATCAGCGTATACCTACGAACGCACTCTGATGATGGAGCAGAGGTCCCAGATGCTCCGGCACATGCGACTGTCCAAAACAGAGCGGGACAGAGAGGTGAGACCTCGCTGCGTCGATCTAATCCTGGCCCTGTGAAGTCTATCACTGAAAGGGATGATACTGTATTGTTTTATAAGATGATAGAGTCTTTCCTTCTCACTTTATCAGTTATCCCGCTATAATCACGTTATTGTTTCAAAATAACTGAAAGATGAAGCATGAGAGAAAATTGGGAATAGAGTCAGAGCTGTGTTGGACCTTCCTCAGGCACAGCTGGTGAAAGACCGGAATTCAATGCTACGCTTGACCAGCATTGGCTCTGATGAGGATGAAGAGACAGAAACCTATCAGGAGAAGGTGCACATGACGTGGACAAAAGACAAGTACATGGCATCCCGGGGGCAAAAGGCCAAGTCAATGGAAGGATTCCAGGACCTGCTTAACATGCGTCCGTAAGTTTTCCAGCTCACAAGCTTATCACACAGCATAGTATCCTAGTCAGTGCCACGGATGTGCCTTTGCCAGAGCACACAGGATGGAATCTGTTCTTCATTTCACCCCAAGTCCAGCCATCTCCCTATTGTTTGCCTGTGAATGTCAGCTACCAATTAACACTGTACGCAAGGTAACCATCCCTCTTCTCTGTTCTGGGTTCCTGGTATAAAACAAGCAAACATAGAATGAGAAAACCCAACATATTAATATTATAAGGAAATCATTTTGTTCATTGCATTATTCATGCTAACAGCAAAAGCTCTGTATTTCAAGTTTTTTAAGGTTGTTGACTGTATGCCTAGTTTTCTGTTTGCCTTAACCACCTCTCCTTCTCCCCTTCCCTTCCCAGGGACCAGTCCAATGTGAGGCGGATGCATACAGCAGTGAAGCTCAACGAGGTTGTAGTCAACAAGTCCCATGAAGCAAAGCTGGTTTTGTTGAATATGCCTGGGCCACCCCGAAACCCCGAGGGTGATGAAAACTGTATCCTTTCCAAGAGTGGAGCTACCAATAGGGAAAATGTTAGCTTGTTTTTTAAATGAGACTAATAGGTAACTGTAAAAGTCATTGTCTCTGCCAAAATCTCCTTCTTGAAAAGGGAAGACTTTTAAAAGTCTTAGGCAAGGATTCTTACAAAGCAGTGAGACTAACTTTTTAAGGAGTTGGGGGTGTAACTGTTTTCTCTGAACCCTAACGAGATGCTTTAGGTGGTACATTTGCAACATTACTTCTACTATTGTGTATAAAACCTTTTCAGACAACCCTAGAGACAGAATACCCACATTCTCTCTCTTTTTCAGGTTCTACTACTTGCAAAGCCTCTTTCTTTGGGTGGCATTAGGGGAGAGGCAGTTGAAGTGGACCCACCTCTGGGGGAAAAAAAAGAGATAAAGGTTCTTTCTCATACTCTGACTGCAGGACTTTTTGCGGGACTGCTTCAGCACTGCAGTGGTGTCAGCGGGCCAGTCCCACCAGTATCATTCAGGAAAAGAGATTTTTTTAAAGGATAAAAGAGCTGACAGAAAAATTTGGCTTGAGCAGCTTCACTTAGAAATTACTTGGGTTCTCTCTAGAAATCTTAACGACCTGCCCTGTTGTGGCTTTTCCTTCTTTTTTCCTTCTTTTACTACATGATATATTACATATTACTTGTGGGTTTTCCACATTTAAAAAAAAAATTTAGGAAAAATCTAACAAATGGGAAAGAGTCTTGTATTATATATGCAAAGGGACAAGATCCCTGGACTAATGCACAGGGTGAAACTGAACTCCAAAGCAGCCTTCCAAGTCTGAGTATACAGTAATTAAAACAAGCATGTTGATTTTTTCAGCTTTGTAATCACATGAACTCTGGCTGTCATGATACCAGGTTGTCACGTGTGCTCTTCTTCTGCCCATTTGTCTCCTTGACAAATTCTGAAGACATGGAATTCCTAGAAGTGCTCACCGAGGGACTAGAGCGAGTCCTCCTGGTCCGCGGTGGTGGGAGTGAAGTGATTACCATTTATTCATAATCTGCTCCTGAGTGACTCTGCTTGGCTTCGTCTTTCCTAAAAGGCTCCCATCCTCCGTGGAAGTGCCAGCTCCTTACTACCACTCCCACCAATAGAGGCCTGTGTTCTGTACACATCACCTGAGTGAACTCTCCACGAGCTGAGCTTCAATGTGCAAAACTGTAACAGTGGTTCTGCTCTTAGCTTCTATGTCATCTGCCCCCATTACAGAAGAAGATATTCCCTCAATATTAGAAAAATGGTCAATTCTTAAAGCCATGTTGAAGGCAAGTTAGAATTAACCAGCGAAACCAATAAAATGAATTGTCAGAAGGGATACTAGAAAGTCAACTAAAGATAAAAAGCAAGTACATATACAATATTAAAGATGAGTCTTAGAAGTCATGGTTCATTGATGACATCATGAGGGCAACAGAGAAAGCATCATCCTACTAAGGAATTCAAGGCCAAGTATGTGGGGACCTAACATCCTGGTGAAGATAACCTATGGCCAGCCAAGATGAAAACCAGCTAATTTTCTTGAGTGTATCCACTGCCCTCTAGGACTCTAATGTTATATTAGGGTGATACACAAAAACTGAAACATGGCTGCAGCTTCTACTTCTTCCTTCAAAACAAGTTTCCCCAAAATACCAGGTTTAAAAGTACATATACTGGGTTGTTGTATATTTCAGCTGTTTGGTTCTCAAAACCCACTCTGTGGTTAAGATTGTAATACAGGCAGTGTTACCATGGAAATTGTTTTTAAACGGTGGAGTAAAAATTTTCAGATTTTTTTCAAATGGACAAACTAAGGAAATTCTAAAGATAGCTATTAAGATTTACTAAAATATAATCTGGTTACCTTTGTGACATGGGCAAAACACACAACCTGTTTTCTGCGAAATATAGATGATGACGCACACTGACCAATGGGTTCACCTTTCCTTCTTCCTTTTATGCCCTCTGGGCTAGTAGGCACAGGTCAAAAATCACAGGAACACCAGGAAGCCTGGCTAAAAGCCTTCTCTAAGAATTTAAAGGGGAAATGCAGCAATGGAACTGGAAGTTCTAGAGCCATATTCCTTTCATAGTGCCAAAGTTACTGAGATGCTGCTACTTGCTACCTATTTTACTCAAGCGGCATACAATTGGCATCGACATACTCAAGAAACTTCTACCAGGAAACCTGTGGACTCATTTCTAAAGCCATAGTGAAGACTTGAGGCATTCACCTAAATGCCCAGAGTATGCACATTTTCCTTTCAATGTTATTCTTCATTCTGACTGCAGAAACTTGGCTCTAAACCAAGATTATCCACGCCAATAGTCTCCTGCTATTTCAGTTTTGTTTTAGAAGCTTTAAGTGTGTTATGGAAATACTTAGGCGAGCTTAGCTTATTTGCTAATTGCCTGATCACAAAACACCCATCTTTCAAGCATAAGGAAATTATCCTGTGTGACTAAGTGGTAATTTCAAATATACGAGGTCATTTCGTTTACAGGGTAGCTTATTTAGAGAAACTATTTACCTATATTTATGGCTGCTTTTGAATTTCACTTAATTGATCAATAGTGCCACTTTGACTACTCATTAAGAATATAAAGCTTTTGATTGCCCAAAAGGCTATGGAACAAACTGACCCAAGTGCCAGCAGCCTATTTGACCTTTACAGAGGATATAACCCTTCAATATGGCTTAAGAAATAGTCATTTTCAATTTGTTCCTTTTGCTTTTCTTTCAACCTCCAGGCCTAGTCAGGGTGGCAAAGGGGACAAGTTCCATTGCAACACTCCATTGATTAGTTGAGTCCAGCAGTAGTAGGACAGGTTCACCCAGGACCCAAGATATTGAAGATCCGTGCTCTGAAGGTCAGCCTGCCCAGGAATTCCTCTACATTACACACACCTCTGGCCAAAGTGACATTTACATATAGTTCCCATGTAGAATGAAATATGGGCAGAAGTTTAAGGTTAGTTTTAAAAGCTTTTTGTGGTTGGACCTCTAAGAATCTTTTAAAGGGTTAAGGAAATTCGAGGCTAACAGTCACTACTTCAGCCCCTAAAACACAAAATCACTGTTACATGGGAAAATGGTTTATTAGGCCAGGTTTAAACTCATCTCTATCTAGAGCGTTTCATGTCTGTGTGCTGCTTATGTTGTTTGTCTGCACAGTGTCGTCTCTTTTAATCACTGCAAATAAAGCAATACCGAAAACTTGGTAAGAATGCACCTTAGGGAAAGGGGTCTTGTGTTTCAAGAAGGAAGAGAGAGAAAAGACTTCCTCCTGCCTTTTGAATAAGATCAGCTTTTAAGTCTTAGCTATGACTTTACCAGGGCAGGTTATGGTAACATACATTTTCCAGTTGCTGGCCCTCTGCCTTCTATAGCTATCTAAAAAGCTGAATTTTGAACTGCAGCATCTGCTTGACAGGTACCAGGTTCCTCTTGGCAGAGGAAAGATGACTACTTTGTATCTTCCATTGCCTCAGATTCCTGTGGCCCCAACAATTCCTCCAATCCTCATTCCCCCTAAACGTGTTAAAAATCCATTATTGTGGATAGTAAAGTAGCGATTACACTGTAAGCATATTTATGTGCTCTTTCTGTCTGGTTTATTTTTTTCTTTTCATCATGTATAATCAGAATCCAGCATTAGTTTCTTACATCTTCCACAAGTGTCTCCAACAGAATTTTTATGTCCCAGCTTATGTTAAACAGGAGTGAAATGTTAAGGAAAACAGATTTAAAGGAAACGTGTAATTTTTTTAAAGCACTGTTCTTGACCATTTAATTTATTGAAAGGAGATGCTGCTGTGGTTCTTGATTTAGCAGCAAACATTCTTTTGTTTACATAGTTATGGTTTTATTTGTTGTTTTGCTCTATACTGGAAACATAAATAAAGTTTTCTACATTATTTTCAGTCAAGGGTTGTGGTACAATTTGTGTTTGTAATGATATGTATATTGTCTTTCTAGGATGTGTCTCCTCATCATGGAGAAAAGAGTGGATTTGGTTCTTTTCAGCATGAGTGATGTTAGGGGTGGACATGCTGAGGAGAACCACTGGGCATAAAGAAGGTTGTAAATGAGGTCCAAATACATAGGCACCAGGTGCTTCTTTCTCAGGTTCACAGAAGCAGTCCTCCACCACTGAATTCCATCCTCTGAAACAAGAAAGAGTAATAGGTGAGTGGGAATGAGCACTGAAATAAATTCCTGAATCAAGTACTTAACACTTTCATCACAAGTTATTTTATCCTTAAAAAAATGACTCCAAACTCCTAATGGATCTTATTTCTTAAGAAATGAGCTCTAATACCAAAACGAATCCCCCACCATCAAATGGATCAGCTATTTACTGTCCATTACAACTGGCCCCAAAGTTAACTTCTTTTACCTTACCTCAGGGGGTTCAATGAAGGCTAACCAATCTGATGCATGTGTAGGCAATAGTCCCATGGACTGGCACTTATAAACAGCCAATGCCAAACCCATGAGGTTTCCAATGAGATACACCAAACCCTGAAGGAACTTCTGGCTTGAACTTTCTAGCATCTTGAAAGCTATTGGGGTAACAAAGTGTCAAAACCAAAACAACTTTTTAAAAAATTACGAATCAGGCACATAATAAAATAATACAAATAATACACACAGACCCACAGTAAAATAGCAAATAGAACTATTGAAGTGAACAGAAAACCATGATAAGCAGTTTCCCCTTCCATGTCACCACCACTACCATCACCACCCTACACACCCCCCTGCTACTAGCCAAGAGCCATGCAAAGATTTCCAATATGGGTTTTGCCTAAGATTTGCCTTTAATTCTTAAAACTTTGGCAAGGGTTTATTTCAAGAATATTTACTGGCTGGCCCTGGCCGGTGTTGCTCCATGTTTAGAGCGTCAGCCTGCACACCAAAGGGTCACAGATTCGATTCCTGGTCAAGGGCACGTACCTGGGTTGCAGGTTTGATCCCGGGCCCCCATCAGGGTGCAGGTGGAAGGCAACCAATCGATGTATCTCTCTCACATCGATGTTTCTCTCTCCACCCGCCCCACCCCCACTCTAAAAATTAATGAAAAAAATATCCCCAGGTGAGAATTAACAAAAAATAAAAAGAATACTTACTGGCTGAAATGGCCATAAGTGCCTGAATGGGTCGCCAAGCCATCATACACACCATCATAGTAGGAAAGATGGAGATGGTATTGCCTGCCATGTACATGATGAAGAGATTCATGGGAATCTGTTTGAGGGGACCCAAGGCAATGTCCCAGCAGCGCTAAAACAAAGACACAATTTTAACCTCTGATCACCACCTTCAGTCCCGCATTTATTGTATCACTGATATTAAAATCAAATGAACACAATTCTCAATTCTGTGCTTCTGGCTGACACCTCAGTTCCACCACCTCTGGCCTCCATGTCACCACAGGAAGCCTGCTCTTCTACTAAAAATAAGGCATCTCACCATATGTTATGTTTTTCCCTACAGATGTCATTACCTCCCACAATTTTAGCTAAAGAAAGGTTTTCCCTGCTTTTATCCTTACACTTCTGCATCTATCATTGTCCTAACTACAACTGAATAGATAAATCCAGGTAGCGGGAGATTAACACGCATCAATCAGTAATTAACAGAACAAACAGACAAGTCAAGATATAGAAGGTTTGAAAGACATTAACAAACTTAACCTAACTGACATATATAGAACATTGCACAAAACAGCTGCAGAATTCACATTCTTCTCAAACACACATGGGACAGTCACAAAAATTGACCACTTGCTGAGCCAGGAAGGAAGGAAGGGTCAGTAAGTATCAAAGAACTCAAATTATACAGCGCATATTCTTTGATTACCATGCAATTAAGCTACAAATCAATAACAAAAAGATAACCAGAAAATCCTTCATCAGTCAGAATTAACAAATGCACTCTAAATAATTCATGAATCAAAGAAATTATGAAAAATATTTTTAATTGATCAAAATACATTTTAACACTTGTGAGACACAGAGCTTTGAGAAATGTATAGCGTTAAATACATATTGGAAGAGTAAAAATAAAGTAAGCATCTATTTCAATACGTTAGAAAAAGAACAAACCAAACCCACGGAAATGAAAAGGAAGGAAATAAAAATGAGAGTAGTATTAATGACATTGTCATTTAGTAAAAAAAGGTGAAGGTGTTTTTTTAAAGATTAATATCAATACTGGTGAGCCTGATTAAAAAAAAAAGATGGAAGATAAATATTCAACATTTGGAATGAAAAAGGGACATCTCTATGGGTCTTGAGATATTAAAGTGAGCACATGATGAATTTTAGGAAACGGTGAATTACTAGAAAAAAATACAGCTTACCTAATGGCATAAGAAATTGGAAATATAAATAATCCTCTAGTCTAGCTGTTTAAGAAACTGAATCTGTAATTAAGCCCAGATGGTTTTCCTTGGCAAATTCTAAACATTTAAGGGGAAAATAAACCCCATCTTCTACAAACTCAGAGAATAAAAATGAACATTCTAGAACTCATTATGTGGGGCTCATAAATACCAAAATCTGACAAGGACATTATGAAAAAAGTTTATAAATCACTATCAGTCATGAACCTAAATGCAAAAATCCTAAACAAAATATTAACAAAGCAAATCTAGCTATATAAAAATAATAATGTGCCACCATCCACTTGGGTTTACTCACATTAAAAGAATAAATGTACCCCTGGCCGGTTTGGCTCAGACGTTAGAGCGTCAGCCTGCGGTCCGGAGAGACCGGGGTTCAGTTCCCACTAAGGGCACGTACCTCGGTTGCAGTTTGTCCCCGGCCCTGGTTGGGTCTTGTGGGTGCCCACCACTCAATGTGTCCCTTTCGCTTCGATGTTTCTCTCTTTCTTTCTCTCTCTCCCTCATTCCCTCCCTCCCTCCCACTCTATCTGAACAAAAGATGGAAAAATGTCCTCGGGTGAGGATAAAAAAAAAAAAGTGGAGACTCTTCCTTGACTGGTCAAAGAAAGGGATCTGACAATGGAAGGGTCAGAGATGTAAAGTGAGAAGGTCTCGCACTGCCAATGCTAACTTTCAACATGGAGGAAGCTGGGCATGGACCAAGTGATCCTGGTAACCTCTAGAAGCTAGAAAAAGAAAGGAAACAGATTCTTCCTGGAGCTTCAAGAAAAAAATAAAAGAATAAATGTAAAAAAATAAAAAAAAAAATGCCATACATGTAAATAGTTCCCTACTGTGTCATTTACATAAAAGATCATTTAGAACTGTAACTATCAAATCGTCCATGCAACAGAACTATTCTAAAGGAACTATTTTATGATAGTCTACCTTTAAAATCAAGCCATTTTACTTAGTTTAATTTATTTTTATTGGTGAAAGTATTACAGATGTCCCCCTTTTTTCCCCATTGACCTCCTCCTCCCTGCTCCCAGCCCACTCCTGCCTTCCCTAGCCTATTTTCCATATTGATTGGTTGTACATATATGCATGTAAGTTCTTTGATTTATCTCTTCCCACTCCCACCCCCCATCCCTCTGAGGTTTGTCAGTCTGTTCCCTACTTCCATGATTCTGGATCTCTTTTGGTCAACAGCTTATTTTGTTCATTATGTTCCACAAATAAGTGACATGTGGTACTTGTCTTTCTGACTGGCTTATTTCGCTTAGCATAATACTCTCCAGGTCCCTCCATGTTGTCTCAAAAGATAAGAGATCTCTCTTTCTTACAGCTGCATAGTACTCCATTATGTAGATGTACCACAGCTTCTTAATCCACTCATCTACTGATGGGCACTTGGGCTGTTTCCAGATCTTGGCTATTGTAAATAGCGCTGCTGTGAACATGGGGGTACATATATTCTTCCTGATTGGTATTTCAGGCTTCTTAGGATATATTCCAAGAAGTGGGATCACTAGGTCAAATGGCAGCTCCATTTTTAATTCTTTGAGAAAACACCGTATTTTTTTCCATAGTGGCTGCATCAGTCTGCATTCCCACTAGCAGTACCCTTTTCCCCACATCCTCGCCAGCATTTGTTGTTTGAGGATTTGTTGATGACCACCATTCTGGCAGGTGTGAGATAGATGTACTCCTTTTTTCCCTGTTGACACCCTCCTCCCCGTTCTCATCACCCCCTGCCTTCACCACACTGTTGTCTATGTCCATTGGTTGTACACATATACATATAAATTCTTGGGTTAATCTCTTCCTACCCCTTCCCTCTGAGGTTTGTCAGTCTATTCCCTAATTCCATGTCTCTGGATCTATTTTGTTCATCAACTTATTTTGTTCATTATATTCCACGAGTAAGTGAGATCATGTGATACTTCTTTCTTTGACTGGCTTATTTTGCTTAGCATAATGCTCTCCAGGTCCCTCCATGCCATCCTCCTTTTCTTTTTTAATTCTCACCTGAGGATATTTTTCCATTTATCTTCAGAGAGAGTGGGAGGGAGGGAGAGAAACATGGATGTGAGAGAGACATATCAACCAGCCGCCTCCCACATGACCCTGACCAGGGCTGGAGACCAAACTGCAACTAAGGTATGTGTCATTGATCAGAATCAAACCCAAGATTCTTCAGTCTGCAGGCAAATGCTTTAACCACTGAGCAAACCACCCCAGGCGAGATCTTTCTTACAGCTGCTAGTATTCCATTGTGCAGATGTACCATGGCTTTAGTAACCACTCATCTACTGATGGACACATGGGCCGTTTCCAAAATCAGGCCATTTTAATAATAGTTTTACTACCATGTATTATGTTACAATTTGATATCAAGATAAAAAATGAGGCTTATCAAGAAAAAAGTTGATGATAGCTCTTTCATTTTCATGTTGTGAAAATCACTCTAATTTCAAATAAAGATCATTTAGTATTGAACGATAAAAAGGCTGAGAAGAAAGAAAGTGCAGGCACTGTTCTAGGCACTTGGGAGACAAACTCCCACTCTCATGGAGCTTATAAGAATGAAAAGATAGGTAATAAAATAAGTAAACTATATTACATATATGAATGATATGGAGAAATATAAAGTGGGAAAACAAGATGGGGAGTGCCATGAGGACAGGCATCATTAAGAAGGTAACATTTGAGATGAGAAAGCAAGTCATAAAGGTAGCTGGGGGAAGAGTATTCCAGGAAGAGGGAAGAACAAGTACAAAAAACCTGAGATGGGAGCTTGCCTGGCATACTTAAGGAGCAGGAAGGAGGCCAATGTAACTAGACTGCAATGAACAAAGGGCAAATTGATAGGAGATGGAGTCAAAGATGTTACAAGGGGCTCAATCAATGTGGAACATTATAAAGACTTCGGCTTTTACACTAAGTGAAATGAGCTACAGCAGGATTTTGAGTAGGAATGATCTGACTCATACTTCAAAAGGACCATACTGGCTGTTGTGCGGGGAATAGACTACAGGGGTCAAGGTGGAAGTAGTGAGACCAGTTAGAAGTCCACTGCAGAGAGGGACACAGGAAGCTTTTGGAGGTGAAGAAAATGTTCTCTTTCAGTGGGAATTTCATGGTGGTATACCACTATTAAAGCTCATCAGATTATACTCTTTAAAAATCATTGGTTCTCAACGGAGGGCAATTTACTTCCCTGGAGACATTTGGTTATGTTAGACACATTTTTGGTTGTTTTAAATGGGGAAGGGCACTTTTGGCATCTAATAGGTAGAGGCCAGGGATGCTGTTTAACATCCTACAATGCAGAGTACAACCCCCCTACAAAGAATTAATTATTCAGCCCAAAATGTCAACAGTGCGGAGGCTGAGAAACTATAATTTAAATGAATGCAGTTTACTGCACATAAACTACAAAGAATTTATTTGTTTATTTATGTATTGATTGATTGATTATCTATTGCAGGCATCTAGGTGAAGGATGGTAGTGGCTTAGACCAGGATGATAGGTGAAGGTAATATCTAGTAAGATTTTGAATTTCTTTCGAAGGTAAAGCCAACAGAATATCCCGACAGATTGGTTATGTGGTGTAAGGAAATTAGAGTAGAAAAGGATGACAAACTGGAAGGCATTGTCACCAACTGATCATTTTCAACCTACTTTCTTATGCCTTATGTTCCAAATGTCTTTTCTTTTTCCAATTATTAAGCACTTTTGGAGCTGATATGTAAACTACTGGAACACTAATCTCAAGCAGTTGAGCTCTTCATGATAAGGACCACCAGGAAGCTATTTATATGCTGTCTTGCAGAGAAGAGTGGGCGTAGGTCAGGACCAGCCCAAAGACTACAATGACATCTATACCTCTGTACCTTCTCCACCAGGATCCGGTCCGTCTCTTGCACGCTCGTATCAGGCACTTGCTTGTCCAAGTAACCGACTGGGTACAGCGAGTCTCCCTGGCCAACGCCTCGGTCACTTCGGCCCCTAAAGAACCAAACCAAGAAACTAAGGCTGCAGACTCCCACACGTCATATCCCACAGTTGCTGTTCTCCTACTCCTAGGAGTGAAGATCTTCAGACGCACCTACCCAGATTAGATCAAGCCCTCCAGAGGGCTCGTCAGACCCCGGCCTACTGGAAAGACTGCAATGTGCATCCTTTGGGCACAAAAGCCTCCACGGCGGAGGCGCCGCTAGCTCCCTAGGAGTCGTCTTTGTGCCACCCATCCAGTCCAGGTTCCATGCCTCTGGGGCAGTTCGGGGGGGAAGGCTCCTCGCCCCGGCGCCTCACCTGCTGCCTCCTGCAGGCCCGCTCAGTTCAATGGCCCACTTGAAGCGCCGGCCTCGGTTGGCCACCAGGCTCCCCTGGGCCGTCATGGCAGAGGACGCCTAGCAAGGCAGCGCAGCCAGTCAGTCCGAGGCGTAGCGGAACCTCAGGGCCACCGGCGACCGCGGCTTCTAGGTCTCAGTCCGCAAGTCCACTTCCGGCGCGTGGCTACAGACGTCACTGCCGGAAGTCGGCGGAGCGCGGCGCAGGTGAAGGCTGGAGCCCTGGAGGGGAGCAGAGCTGACGAGTTCAATCCTCCCAGAGCGGCTCCCGCGCGTCCCCTCCTGTGTGACGGGCCTGGTGCGTGTTCCCGGACCTCTGAGGTGCTCTGTACCGGCGGAGGGAAGGTCCGTACTGCTCGGCTTTGGGAGTTGAAGCCGAGACCAGCTGCTGCAGTTCCTGCTCGTGGGCTGCAGCGTCAGACCTGCTGTTGAATCTTGACTTCATTCCTTAATTGTGTGACCCTGAGCGAGTTAAATTGTTTGTGTTTCAAACCTCTTCGCATGTAAAACTTGGATCATGTACCTACTTTCAAGGTTTGCTGTGAGGTTAAATGGTATGCCCGCCCCATATGCATGATGTGGTTTTGTTTTTTTAAGGTCATTAAATCATCTACATTGTTCGTACTGGTTGCGTTTTGTATTCAGTTGTACACCTGTATCATAATTTAACCTATTATTGGATATATATGTAGTTTTCTGTTTATTTCCCTTGTATAAACCATGTTGCTGTGAATATTCTTGCACGTCTTTTCTTACTTCTTAAGTTAAATTACTAGAACTGCAATCGGTAGACCAGAGTGTGCGCGTTTTAAAGAAATTTTCACTTAAAACGCCCGCTAAGAAAATTACATCGATTTACATTCCACCAGCTATAAAATTATAAAAATAATTTAATTGCCAGTTTGAAAATGGTACAGTATTATTTTAAAATGTGTATTATTTTGCCCTGGCCAGTTTGGCTCAGCGATTGGAGCATTGGCCCGTGGACCAGAGAGACCTGGTTCGGTTCCCTAGGGGCATGTACCTCGGCTGCAGTTTGTCCCCGGCTCCAGTTGGGGTCTGTGGGTGGCAGCCAGTCCATGTGTCTCTCTCACATCGATGTTTCTCTCCCTCCCTCCCTCTCGCCCTTCCTCCTCTCTCCCTCTCGCTCTATCTGAAGATGAATGCAAAAAGTGTCCTCCGATGAGGATAAAAATAAATAAAATAAAATAAAACTTGTATTACTTTGACTCCACGTTATTTGACAAGGCTGGGGGTGGGGAATAAGGGGAGGAGTGCTGTGACAGTGGTTGGAAGGTAAGGTTGAAAAGAGCCTCCTTGGCCCACTAAAGAGTTTAGACCCTTAAAGATGATAGTGATAGGGAGACACCGAAGATTACCATCCCCACTTTGTTTTCTGATTTTAGAAATATGTGTTTATAGAGGACTGCATGAACAAGGCAGGGATGAAAAAGGCTTTTCCCCTTCCAATTGATTCTATAGTGTATACCTATCTGATCATAGCAAGACCCAGCTTATAGATTGCTTGCTTCCTTTCTTTTTTCCTGCCTTGGTTCTATAGTCTCTGATGGACCTTTGAGATTGATCTAAAGCTTCATAGGGGCCTTGGTCCAATGAGGCATTCCTGTGCACTTTTCTGCGGAATAGCACCTACAGCATTGAATTGTTTGTTGACATCCTATAAATACTTAATCTCTGTCATCCCCAACATCCTACTCTAAATTCCTTCAGAGTAGAAACTATATGTTAATTATTTTTGATTCCACAGCCTATTGCCTTGCACATACAAAGTACTGAATAAATGTTTAATGAATATGAGTAAATTAGTTGAAAGTAAATATAATACAAAACTGAGTATACTATAAAAACACAAAGCCCTGGCTGATGTGGCTCAGTGGACAGAGCATTGGCCTGAGAAGGGTTTCCATTCCTGGTCAAGGGCACATACCTGGGTTTCCTATTGGGCCCTGGTCGGGGCATGCAGGAGGCAACTAAACAATGTGTCTCTCACACGGATGTTTCTCTGTCTCCTCCCCCACCCTCCCACTCTCTAAAATTCAATGGAAAAAATATTTTCAGGTGGGGATTAACAAAAATAAAATAAAATGAAACATAAAAATTAGAAGGGAGGGAGTACATAAAAAGTGTTATATATTGTATTCTGGTAATGATTTTCAGACAATTTTGTCTGATTTTCAAGCTATTCTTGTTATACTTCTTTAATAAATTTTAAAGTAACACTTGACAACATGGTTAGTCACTTGAATCATATATTTCTTCCCTTTTAAAGTAATCCTCTACTTAAAAAAATTTTTTAACTATAACCTGAATCAAAGTTGCTTTGGCCTCAATAGAGTATTCCAGATTTTTTATTCCTTTATCCTGGGAGTCTTCACAGTGTTATTTGCTAAACATTCCAAGGAACATGAAGGAACATGAAGATACAGGGACTGAGCGGAGTGAGGAAGGGTTCCAAGATCAAACACTGAATATTATGTTTTGCACATATACCCCAGAGATTCCCAGTGCTATTAGTATAACATTAAAACCACAGGAACTTATTTAATAAGAATTTCCTTTAATTTTTCCCAGCTACCTAAATAAGACTCCCCCACCCCTTCTTTTCTTATTACATCTGGTAATGTTCAATGGAATCAACGTTCTATAGAACACAATGGGGGCAACTTGCTGTATACTACAATTTAGGAGGAAGATGAAGGCATCTCCATAAAACTGCCTGGTTGATTTGTTGTTGTTTTTTAAGATTATAAGAATATCATTAGAAATAATTCGCTGTGGAAATGGAGCTTTAACTTGGAATTAAACTTGAAGATTCCAGTTTTTGTACAAATTACGTTTTGCAAGAAAAAGGAAGGAAAACCTAGATTCTTGACTTCAAATGAACAACCTGAGTCACTTTGAGTTTGGAACTCTCTTGGCCTTAATTTCTTCCTCTATAAAATGAGGGACTTATACTAGATAACTTCTAAGGCTACCTTCTAGTTCTAAAATGTACTTTTAAAACCATATTTTGCATATTATTTTATACATATCCATAGAAAAAAGACTCAAACGATAAACACATGAAGGAGTAATGGGATTTCAGATTACTTTTCTAAATTGTACTTTCCCTAGTTCTCGGCATTGTGCAGGTCCCAATTTTGGATTTAGGGAAATATAAATTTTTTAAAAAATATGACCAACCCTGGCCAGTTTGGCTCAGTGGTTAGAGCGTCAGCCCACAGACCAGAGAGTCCCGGATTCAGTTCCCACTAAGGGCACCTACCTCGGTTGCATTTTGTCCCTGGCTCCAGTTGGGGTCGTGTGGGTGGCAACCAGTCAATGTGTCTCTCTTCATCGATATTTCTCTCTTTCTCGTCTCCCAGTCAATGTGTCTCTCTTCATCGATATTTCTCTCTTTCTCGTCTCCCACTCTTTCCCTACCACACTATCTGAAGATAAATGCAAAAATGTTCTCAGGTGAGGATTAAAAAGAAATGTAATAATGTGTGGTGATGTTAACTAAATTTATTATGATAAATATATATAGGGTGGGGCAAAAGTAGGTTTATAGTTGTATGTGAAACAGTTTGTTCTTGTATTATTATTTATTAATTATTGTATTATTATTTATTATTGTATTTTCCATCTGAACATTTGTAAACCTACTTTTGCCCCACCCTGTATACATATATCGAATCACTAAGTTGTACAGCCAAAACTAATTCTATGTTATATGTCAATTATATCTTGATTAAAATTTTTAAAAGAAAGCATTTTTAATGAGGTAACATTAGTTAATAACAAGTTTTGGGTGTAAAATATATATATAGGTTTTGTTAATCCTCACTCAAGGATCTTTGTCCATATATTTTTAGACAGAGTGGAAAGGAAGGGGAGAGAGCGAGAGAAACATCAATGTGAGAGAGATACATCCATTGGTTGCCTCTCACATGACCCCAACTGGGGCCGAGGATGGAACCTGCAACCCAGGTACTCACCCTAGACCAGGAATCGAATCCGTGATCCTTTGGTCTGCAGGCTGACGCTCTAACCACTGAGCCAAACTGGCCAGGGCTGGGTGTACAATATTATAATTCAATATCTGTATACACTGTAGTGTGCTCACCACCCAAAGTTTAGTTTCCATGTCACCATACATTTGACCCCCTTTTACCCATTTCACCCTCTCTTTACTACAGTTATGACATGATATGGTTCTAAACCTAGAAGCTTAGTGGTTCTCTGTCCTAGATTCACTGGCCTTGGGAGTTCTTAAACAGTACTGATGCCGCCAGGCCGGTGTGGCTCAGTGGTTGAGCATCAACCCATGCACCAAGCGGTCACTGGTTTGATTCCTGGTCAGGGCACATGCCCAGGTTGTGGGCCAAATACCCAGTGTGGGGCATGCAGGAGGTGGCCAATCAATGTTCTTTCTCATCGATATTTCTATCTCTCCCTCTCCCTCCCTCTCTCAAAAAAAAAAAAAAAATCAATAAAAAAAAAAAAAATACTGATGCCTGTGCTATACCTACAGTGCTTAGGTTGTTTGCTTAAGTTGGAACATGGGCATCAGGATGTTTTACAGTGCTACAGATGATTCTACTCAAGGGCTGAGAACCACTGACTAAAGCATTTTGTTGGGTTTGAATTTACACCAAGTAATTTAAGTGAACAAATTGTTTTTGAGAGCCTCCTGTGTACCTCCCACTGGACTAAACTTGAATTAGAAAATAATGGGAATACTGAAATTGTAAAAAAATAAATGTAAACTTTGCTTACTTTGTGCCTTTGAGCAAATAAAATTTTAATGAAAGAAACCGTGAGAAGGCACACCATGATTCCATAGGTCATACCATTTGTCTTGTTTGACTTTTTAAATTTGTGCCACCTACACAGTTTTTGTCGTTGGTTTTGTATCTCACCCACCCACCCCAACCACCACCTCTTTTTAGGAGTCTAAAAAGCTGACTAGTTCTAATACTTCATGCCATTCTCTTCAGAGCAGTTGCATTTGGATTGAAACTTGAACAAAGACATTTTATTTTCGAACAACCAGGTTTGCAAGACTAGATCCATCTAAAGGGGAAAAAAAGAGCCTTTATAGATATGTTTTAAGTTTTAAATCTATGCCATTTAACAATGTCTATAATA